TGCAAAAAATGTCACATCATGCCAGAAACTATACAACACATCACTTCTGGTTGCAAGCTCTTGGCACAGACAGATTAATTACATAGACACAATCAAGTAGCAAATATAATACACCAAGAGCTTGCAAAGAAACACAAATTAGTAGACATTCATGAACCATACTACAAGTATATTCCACAGACAGTATTGGAAAACAACATGCACAAAATGTACTATGACAGAGCCATAATTACAGATAAAACAATTTACCACAACAAACCAGACATCACACTCATTGACAAACACAATAAAATCACATACATTATAGACATAGCCATTCCAAACACTCACAATGTACAAAACACATGCACTGAAAAAATTAGCAAGTACACAGAACTTGCCCAGGAAATAAGGCATCTGTGGAGGATGGATAGGGTGGTTATTGTACCTGTTGTTCTCTCCTGTACAGGTGTGATACCACACACACTACACAAAAGCCTGGGAACATTACAATTGAATAGAAATACATACATCACACTACAAAAGGCCACTATATTGAATACATGCCACATTGTTAGGAAATTTCTGAATACAGACACTGACACACTTATTTAATTTTTGTTTTTGGTTGCCATGCCTTGACTCTGGTCCGGCATAGCACACAGCCACTGGTGTGAACCGAGTAACCTGCTAAACCCAACATAATAATAATAATAATTCTTACTTGTTCAGGATAAAATTCTTTATCTGGAATATAATAATTCATTAAAGGCTTCTTTCCTTTTTTTCTAACTTTCTTTTCACTTTCTATTAAGGATTTTTGATGACTGATTGATATGAGTCCATTTGTCATTCCTCCAGTTATTATTTTATCTTTTGGCTATTTTAAAATGAAATTTATTTTTAGAATATTATATATGATGTCAAAATATATAAAAACAAATTACATACTGAAATGGCAATACTGAGAAGCGGTGAAGGAAAGTCCAGTGTGTGAACTACTTGGTAAGTTAAGACATCGTAAATTTTCACGTGTCTAAATTAAAAAACAAAATCTGTTGTAAACTAATGAATTTAACCTTAATTTTAAAATAAATTATTTGCAATACATTATGAATATGATGATTTTAATCAGTGAATGCTAGCTACACTGACATGTTCATGACTTTTATGTGACTGATAACACTTATAAGTTCAACTGTATCAGACTTAACAGAGTATGAGCTAACATAGGTGATGATATTGATGTGTTTAATCATAAGCAATCCACGCTCTTGTCTAGCATTTTTCATTTTTTATGGCCTTATTTAACAACTGTATATTACTTAGTTATTTGGTTTCATTAAGTAAGCATTCTTAATAATAGTTCAACAGCTTAGAATTTACATCAGTTGAATTCAAAAATGTTAAAAAATAAAATCCATATGCAGTATATGTAAAACAAAAGTGATATGCTTAATAAATTAATGTGTATTGTGCGCAAGGGTTTTCTTTTTAAATGTTGAACTACCATTGAATTCTAATAAGTTCGATCTTGTATTAAATTTGAAAATAAGAATAATTTTGTCCGATTTGATGTGAATTCTAAGCCGATGTTGTCCTAGTTTGGAACAAAAATGTTTCTTGGCTTCCTGAAATATGCATTCTTAATAAATAATAATACACACTTGGCACTATAGAAATGTGAAGTATTATTACTTGAACTTATCCAGTATTAATTAGGTTTACAAACCTTGTACAATATTAAATGTCATGATACAGGCTTTATATTACATAAACTTATATGAATAGGGCCTACAATGTGCACTAAAAGCATTAGGTAAGGGATGGCACACAATGATCTGATCTATGCAACCACTATGATAATTTATTTACATTTTATTAATACTTAATAATTAAAAAATTTTAGATACCTATCCAAAGAACCAGACATAACTCTTTTATTATCATTTGCAAAGCATAGACAAGTAATAGTCTTGTGATGTTGAGACAATTGTGCCAATTGTCTTCCTGCCACAGAATCCCATACTTTAATTGTCGTACCACCTAAAATAAAACAAAAAAGACAACAAAAATCTGATGTAGTTATTTACAGATAATAAGTACAGCTCAACATCATTGAATTTAGTTGTTTATTAAAATACTAATTAGAAAAGAACTAATAAATAGGAAGAAATTTTAACTTTTCATATTATTTTACACTTAGATATATGGTTTGTTTATTTTTTTAAAAAAGAATAATAGAATGAAAAACTGTGTGAATATAGTGAACATACTGGTCTTGTACTGGCCACTCTGTAGTACATTTTTTGTGAGTTGTCACTCATAAAATATGCATTGACCTGCATTTCCTGACTTAATATATAACAACTTTACAAAGAAGTGTTATAAACAGAGACTCAACTCTGACTGCCTGTATGAAATATAACCAAATCAAACAAGACCGACAAGCACTTCATCCACACTTTCCAAAATATTATTTGTGATGCATACTGATAAACAGTAGTAGTATCTTACACACACATGCATTGAAATCTAATTTGAATAACAAAGTCATCAATGATTTGTATTGTGATGTGTAATGATGCAAGGTGAGTTTCTGTGCCACTACCAAATCGGTACTCTTGGCGTCAATTTTCTTTAACATAGGAAGTCGACCATTGGTGGCCAGCTCTGCAGAGTAGCTTGTTTGGAAACCTAGTTATCATATGGCAACCAGAGTAAATATTTCAAAATTCAAAATTTTGTTCATATATCAAATTGTTCATATATCAAATTGTTCATAAACAGGCATTTGTAACCCGAGGTTTGACTATACTTTTATTCTAAATATTCCATGCTGAAATGAGGATGTCTTATAAAAGATGGTGTGTATAATCTCAAAAATTAAACAGAGTTTGACAGAATATACTGTACAAATTTAAAAATGGGCCTAAATTTATTTAAGATTCTGGGGGGAAAAAGCAACTGATATGTAAGTTAAAAGTTGGATGGTCAAGCCAGTAAAGACCTTGACCATATCAATCTGAAATAATAGATTTTACAGATAGTTTGGCTCTATCCCAACTTTAAAAATAATTCTGAGTTATAAAAGTCTATAACTCTAATTTGAAAAATGTGACATTTTCTATTTCAAAAATAATTCTAAATTTATGTGTAATGTGTTAAATATGTAAATTTCTTATAGAAAATAAGACACAGACATCTAGATTTTTCTAAAATAAATGAAAATAAGCTAATTGTAAGCATTAATTAAAATACATTACCGGCAGATACAAAAACACCTCCCGAAGGAAACATTAACACAGATTCTACGGGACAACCGTGATCTACAGAAAGAATACTTTTGGAAGTTCTTGCATCATACATCTTCACCGTATGATCATAGGAACCTGAAAATATGAAATCATATTAAAATTTTATTTAATTTGTTTAAAAACATAATTAAAACTAGTTTTAACCTCTTCAAATTGCAATATAGTATTCAAATATTTTTTGAATGAGTAATGAATTTGTAATTGAATAATTTGGTAGTTTTATTTAGTGACTGGTTAATCTTCATATCAAGAATGATGGATTGCATGCTCAGTAAAGTGAAACTAAACTAGGGCATTGTGCAACTTTGTCATATCACAATAGAATTGAGGCAGAGCTGGAAGGAAAGAAGCAATTCCTGCACCTGTTAGGCAGAAAAGAGGTGATTCTTGTGCAGTACCTGATGGACATGGACAGGTGAACACTGCACTTGTCATGACAAAACAGGTTATCCTCGTACCTGCAGGCCATGGGAGACACAATCCTTACACTGCAAGGTAAGAAGAGATGATCTAAGAATAAAGTAATCGATGGTGATTACTTTGTTTGTTTTTTTTGCCTATTTTTCATTAGACGCATGTAATACTGTTTTCATGTTTGACCCCTAAGCCTAAATTCCATTAGGTGTGCTTATCATATCAGTGAGCTTGGACATTGTCACTGTAATTACTTTGTACAGTCGACCCCCCTATAAGATCATTGATTTTTCCGTTTTATCTGAATTACATGTTGTACGAGTCACTTAGATTTTACAAATATGTGAGCCGTTCACAGCCCGGCACACGTATTTGTAAAATCTAAGTGACTCGTACAACATGTAATTCAGATAAAACGGAAAAATCAATGATCTTATAGGGGGGTCGACTGTATATCGAAAACAAAATCGTAGACCCCTATTTTTACTTTCCTGGCTCGTTACAGATAACAGAGGGAAAGTATGGTGATCAGTCAAAAAATGACCACCCCTAAGATTTTTATATTTTTGGACTTAGGTGACCTTGAAACATTGAGAAATGCAAAAACATTCAGTTTTTTTTCCTGTATGTATGGATGTTCGTTCGTGTGGGCACTACTTTGAAGCTTAATAACTCCTGTGCTTTTGTAAATTTCTGAAATTTTGCAGGGAGATTTGATTAGAGGGATTGACACTATTAAATTTTGGTGGTTTAAGATCGAGAAGGTGGAGAGATAAAGGACAGTCATGTGTCATATCTTGAGTAGGGTTGCATTTTATAACAATTTTACTTGTTATTAGCATTTACAATTTTTTATAAAACTCATCCCTACCTTCACAATTAAACTTTTTGCCATTTTATGATAATTAAAAATGTAAACACTTTTTAAATGAAATATCATAACAGATAGCACCACCAGAATTTTAAATGTTGCCAGGAAAGTTAAGTGATTTGTTGCTCAATTTTTTACATTTAAATAGACCCACATTACATTTCTGGATTCCTAGTCTCAATGAAAAATGGCAAAGTTTTATCAAAATCAATCTATTAAATTTTGAGAACAAATTCTTAAGCTCATACAAGACATGCTAGTGACCATGAGACATTGCACGACAAAGTCACGTGCGCTTGTGAAACAATCTTATATCCTGAAAAAGAAGTCGTGGATCCCCATTTTTTATTACATTTTGAATTCCTCATCTCAATTAATGGAAAATGGCAAAGTTTAATAAAAATCTATCAAATGGATTTTGAGAATGAACATAATTCTGTAAGCCTCATAGAAGAAGGTTTGCTAGTGCTGAGCTTCAATGAAGTAACTATTAAGTACAATTCAGTGGAGAGATAAAGGTATATCAGTGCATCATAAAGCTACTTTGAAAACAATATTTCTGGTTGCTCAATGCAATTTTAAAGAAGTTATCTTAATTAGTTCTGTAAATGACTTTAAAATTCTTTAAAATTCTTTAGAGTTCTTTTGGGCTGCAACTTAATGTAGAAAAGATGGCAATATCTTTCAAACATCTGCTGGACATGATAATCACTTGTTAACAGCAAAGAATATAATATCTATTTCAAAGTCAATAGTAGTAAGTTATTTAACAAAGCAATAAACCATGCGGATTGCCATATTGTTGCAACAACAGAGACCATATATGCCAGTAGACACTTGTGACATTCAATGTTTTATTCAATAGTTACTCAAACTTTAATGTACAAAAAATGTTGAGTTTATACATTAGTTTTAATGTTTTGCTTTTGAATAATAACATCAAAGTAAAGTATGCAATAACACAAATAGTTATGAAATGTAAATATTAATTTTTTATCACAAACAATATAAAGATGATTACTGGTAATTTAAGATTCAAACTATCATATAATGCAAAAGACTTTAATAATAGACCACATAACATTATTACTTGTTGCTCAACAATCAAAAGTTGTAAAAATCATGTATAAAAAGTAAACTGAATTATTAATCTCAAGATCAAAAGGTTTAATGGACCTGATTTACTGAATGTTATCAATTGGAAGTGTGTGAACTAAGTGACTTTGTTTGTTTTTAAATGCATGAATGAAGTTCAACCACTTATTTCTTTGTATTATATTTTAAATCAAAATTAAGAGAAACAATGTAGTAAAACACTTTCTATTTAGTGCATTATATAAGATTTTTTCAAGCTGATGCAGGAAACAAATTCTGGAATATATTTTTATTTCTGACACATTTCATTAGCCTTTGACCATGTGTATTTCGACACACATGCAAATTTTACGCAAATTTACATATTTATATTACCAGATATGAGACAGTATACAAGAAAAACAGAATATGAAATATAATAATTCTGTAGCACAAATGCTAAGAGAAAAGCAGTTAGTACAGAAATACACAAACATGTATTTCTATACTAATTGCTTCTCTTTGACTGTTCAACATGTAATGAAAGGTGTTTTAAACATAATTTAACAAATTTTTTTCTGTCACCAGAGTGCATTATATTTTACATGTTAAATAATATATTTACACTTGCTTGTGTGATTTCTCATTCATATTTTTAATCCACAAATCTTAGCATAGTTAAATTTCATTGATGCTGAGGTTGTATGCAGACTATTGCTTTTATGTGTTGCCAATAAATGAATGTTAATAATAGATCAAGATCATTGACACCATATTAATTTTTGGCAAAGTAATCTATATATATCATAAGTAATTTCCAAAATCATTGTAATTCTATCGAAGCTTATAAAATCAAATATCATTTACAAGAGTAAATAGTTCACACATGGTTCTTATCGAGGCTTTAGCACAAATAGGAAGTTTTGTTTGGAACCAGCATGAGTGAAGCAACCCATGAAATTTGAATACAATATACAATATATTATATCAATATACATTAAACAAACTTATAAAATTGAAAATTAAACTGATATTACCTGAAATAAATATATCTTCACTTGCTTTGCTGATAGCACCTGCTCTGATATAATCCTGAAAATATGACAAAGTATAAAATTATTTAAAACATAAACTGTAGCTTGATATTCAAATAATCAAACAGCTAAACACTGGACTATTTATAAGCATTAATTGTGCTAATTATTACATTATCAAATTATGTAACTTGGTCTAAAGGTAGGATAATTAAAAGGATAGGTTATTTTCTATGAAGCAAAAAACATCAATAAACTCAAATTTTTATTGCTAACTTTTTATTGTTCTTCTATTAATCATAATTTCTATATAAAGCACTTTTTAATGATGGAATAAAAGAAATTCCAAAATATTAAAGCAAATTAGCATTAAATAAAGTTCTATTCAATTTAAGCTGGTGATTATATTCAATATATATAAATTTTAAAAGAATTAATGAACTATTTGTTTTAATTTATGATATAACTAATTTAAATTTTTGTACAGAGGTGCAGCCTCAAATAAAAAGTCATCTCTATAAGTGAAGATGGTTTTTTTTGGTTTTGTCAATGGTGACTGAAACAATGGATTGTGAAAGCAAAAATTTTATGTTTTGTATTCTTCAATATATTTTTTACTAAGAATTATGGCCTTTTAAAGTTTACCTGATGTTCTTGTAGAGTCAATATCTTAGATTCACTTGGTACATCCCAAAGATTAACAGATTTATCATCAGAAAAGCTAACAATTCTTGTTCCCTCTTTTGTGAATTTACACCTATGTGTTGCTCTATCAAAAGATAATGTATATATTATAGTTCTCACATAAATGATTACTTATTAAATAAACTCACGCCTTGTGGTCCTTGAATATTCTTAGTAATGATCTACTTTTCACTTCATAAAGTTGAACGTTTCCATCGTCACCGCCAGCAACCAAAAGCAGACCATCGTGTCGAAACGATCCTCCATAGGCAGTTTGCCTAAACCTTGATAAACTTCGACAAACGTCATTATTTTTGGGACTATAAATCTGCACCTATTTTCAAAAAAAAAAAAAAAACTTATAATTTAGATATTTAACTTTATAAATAATATCAATTAATAGTTTATGAATTTTCACTTACTCGAGACGAACAACTTGCAGCAAAATAATAGGGAGGTTCTGGAGAGAAATCAAGATAATCAATTGGTCCATAATCCTTCACCGAGATTGGAAACTAAAAATTTTTTTAGTAAATTCATTAAAAAAAATTATATAAAACATTGTATCAAATTCATTTAATAGCATAAAGTTTAACAATGTACTTGAATTAAGAAATTGCTTGTTATTAAATAAATCCAAAACAGTATTTTACTGAAATAATAATTATATTTGACTGAGTTATAATTAATTTTCTATCTTTATCACAAATGGCAGGATGACCAAGGCGGCTGGCTAGGGCCTTGCCGAAACCGAATAATCTAAAACTCAACCTGTTATTCAAGGAACTCAGGCTTAAATTGAGGTATGTACTTATGAAATATTCATCTGAAGAATTTGTTTAGTATGATAAATTGAGCTCCATCTTTCACTATCTTGGATGCTCAGTCAAAGAAATGTTATTTCAAAATATAACTTTTAAACTACACAGATAATACAAGCAGTTTTTCAATTGGAGAAAATAGTAACGTCTATGAAATTTTATAAAAAATATTTCCATAATTGTAAATAGTTAATTTTATATTTTAAAAATGCATCCAAATAAAGCATTAGTAAAATTTAATTAAAATCATAACATAAAATGCAATTTGATAAAAGGCTGGATCAAGTTATTTGAACTATTTTATATATTAATGGAGACCATTGATATACCATGTATCAAACTACAGCCACCCATACTTATCTGGCCCATATGGCTCATTTTCAGCAATACGATTCAACTAGTTCAAAGCATATAAAGTATTTTCAAAAATGAAATCACTGTCCAACAAATATCTAAAAGAGATTTTAGTATTAGTTTCACAAAACATCCTCAATTTTGATGACATTCTTTGAAAAAGCAGTTGCAAATTTTGCATTGATTTAGGTTAGTTGTTTATTCGGTAATAAAAGAATCTTAATTTTATTCTTTGACTACATATTTCATACCTATCAGATTACAAATTTCAAATAATTTAAGCTAATAAATCTGCTAAAAATTAGATAAATGCGATATTATAAACTGCTCCATCATCTGTTGGTAATTTTATTTCATAACTTTTATACAAAACACTTTTCAATGACGGGAAAAAAGACCAATTAGTTCAAAATGAGATTTAAACTAATACAATTAACATTCCAAACAGATATACATAATCTCTCAAGACTAAAGACCATATACTTATTGCAGGTAGCCACTAAAATTATCATATAACACTCTACAATTCTTCAAACAATTAATACTAATACATAATTCTGTTTTGTGAAAAATCTGGTCTTATCTTTCTTATACACAATAAGAGCTAACTTATATGTTACTGAAACAATTCAAAATGGCTGCATTCAGCAGACTCAACAGTTCCCCCATGTTTCTTTATGCAGCAAGAGTGTAGCAAAATGACGTCACAAACAGTGTTGGCCAATTAGAAACCAGTTTCAGTGTGTTCGCTGTAAAGCGCTTCTCGAGTGCTGCATAAAGAAACGCAGGGTTCTGGAGCTGTTGAGTACTTTTCTGCTGAATGCCCTTTACGGTAGCACTGTTTTGGAACGTCTGATACTTTGATGTCACATTTAGTGGCGTCTTTCAGTTATGCTACCTATTGCTACCTGAAACTGACCAATGATGGCTGCTTTTTGTTCCAATGCATACATCACTCATCGTTCAGCAGATGTAACTACTAACAGCTACTGATTGAAACATCTTTGCTCAATTAAAACCGTTGACTCTGCTGAAGGCAGCCATTNTTATCAAAAAATTAAAAATAAATTAAGTAATGCATAGGGATTAACTAGTCACGAAATATGTTTGTATTTCTTTAATGTGATCACTTTTAACGAAAAAACAATGTCAGCTCAGCACTTGAAGACTTTCGGCGCTTAAAAGAGTTAAGATGAGAATCGCTGATTATTGAGGATTAGGAAAATGATAGCCATTGGTTTAATTGTTGTTCCAAGCTGTTTCTTTTCTAAATAATGTATAATTCTGCAATTGAAATAACTTACATATATATATAATTTACATTTAAAAAATTATCAATTCATTATTATCATACGTTTCTGTATTTACATATATAACTTATTGTTCAATAAATTGGTAAAATCATATATACAGCAGGTAGGATCTAGTGACCAAGAATGTCCTGAAAACAGATTTATGAAAGATCATGTTTTGGACCACATTCCTTTTAACCTTTTGGTCGTGGGGTCGACAAATCTCGGTCCTGTTTGATCACCGAAACCTTAATATTTTTATCCTCAAAGCACTACATTACTTTCATTGTTTTCAAATATAGATTGAGTCACGTGGAACACACGTGGGTACCAATACGTGTCTAAGATTCACTGTTGAAATAATTATTTGTATTCTGTAAATTTATTTAGCATGATTATTAATTTGAAAACTTTATTCACCTCATAATTTTTCCAATATTTGCTTTCTAACGTTGCTTTTGGTTGCGAAGTTGGAAAAGACAAAATTTCCGTTCTCTTAAAATCCGCCATTTTGACAAAGACATTAATCCCCCTAACGGTGAAATTCAAGTTTATATTAATAATAGAATAAAAATTACATTTTTATCCGTAATTTTGATTGTTTTTAGCTTTTAATAGCAAAACAATTAACTGTATTAAATAATAAAAATAAATTATAAATGTTACAATATACAGTTTATTTATATTCGTTTTATTTCATAATTGCCACAAAAATTTGAAATTTTTGCACCTAATTATCTTTATATATGACAGTCAAAATATACAGTATTTGTATTGTGGGAATCCCCATTCTCAACCACTCCTAAAGCCCATCCCCTCTTAACTTCGGAATTGTTTGTATTCACAAGTTTCCAGAGAAGGTTCGTGTATTTTTCCGTATCGTCGAGCCGCCATTTTTAAAAACTTTATTCATCCTGTGGACACTAAGAGGGCCTTTTATAGCAAAACAGGGGCCGACATATCCGGTCTGATCACCCCCATGGAGGTGATCTGACCGGATATGTCGGCCCGTCCCTTATCACCCAGCCGCCCCATTGCGGGCCTAGCCGAACACATAATGAGGCTTACTATGAGATGCCCTCTTAGTGCCCACAGGGCGGAAAAAGCAAAAACAACAACAAAAAAGTATCTTAATGGTTACCAAGACATACGCCCTCTTATGGCAGAGTTAAAAAACACGTTTTGGAAACTTGTGGATATCTTAATGGTTCTTGAAAATCGTCGTAAGGCGAGCCGTTTTATACATTCAGTGTCGTAAATCGAGATTGCATTATAGGATATAATAATTTTGACTTAATAATAGTACATAAAAGCAGTCAAAATATGTAGCATCTCATACGGTCAAACAGAAAATTTACATCAGTTGTAAAAGCAGGGACTTTAAAAGAAGCGGTCGTAAAGCGAGATCTTTTTTCATTTTTGGATTTTTCCACCTTATTGGTACTAAGAAGGCTTTACCGTCGTGAATTCGGTCAGGCCCACAATAGACGTACTGAGTGGAAGAAAACTGAGCCTAACATATTCAGAGCAAACAACCCCGAAAAATTCGTGGGGTTTTGATAGCACGGATTCAATCTTGGGTTTTCTACTAAAACGGGAAGCTAACGCTTTAACCGCATCGAAAAACGAAGTTTATTAACAGGCTGTTCCAAAAGTAAGTGGAGGGATCAAAAACAATGATGATGATAAATATTAGAAATTATAATGTTTTGAAGAGACTGGAACTTTAGTTCGAGAAATTAGCGTGGGGTCACAAATAGATTGAACATATCAAAACGGAAGACATTGCTACTGCATTAGTGTAGCGATGAATGGAAATTTGCATAGCAGCAGTAATACATGTGCAATATCATGCAATTAGACATACCCTATATAACAATGTAGAACGATCTGCGAAAAATATCGCATTTTTATCCACGTAAAATATCTCACAGTCAATAATTGATTTCTGGTGATAATGATAAGCGGAAAACATTTGCCATCACATTTGTAGCTCGGATGTGGTTGATGATGCATGGCCCTGACAAATTTTGTAAAGAAATGAAGTCCATTTTCATTTGCACGGAGATGTCAACACTTACAACTGCAAAAGTTAGCGTATTGAAAATCCTCACGTTTACCACTAAATCCCATTGCACTCAATAAAGATTACGTGCAGTATTTTTTCACAGCATCCTTTATCACTGGTCCTTATCATTTTTTGAAAAACTCTCAATTTGGGCCTATGACACGTTTTGTTAATGCCGCTAGATACGGAGATATGCTCCAGAACGTCGTCATTCCACACCGCAGAAGAGAAATTGTCTGTACACCACAATCTTTATTCAAGATGGTGCACCCTACATATTGGTTTAAATGTGCAAGCTATACGGCAACAGTACTTTTTGTACGAGAGAGTGATTAGCCGATCATTTCCAACGTTTTGGCCACCAAGAACACCTGTACTTTTGGTTATGGGGTTTTAAAAAGAGTCTCGTTTATCAAGGCAGCGTTAGAATCATTGCCTCGATAAAAGACTAATTAGCACAAATAAGCCACATATTTATTTTATAATACTGTAATTAATTTAGACCTATTAACTTAATAACGAAAACATTTTTTTAGCTATTTAAAATTTAATAGAAGAATTTAATTAGAAAAATCTGAAAACAGACTTTCAGATATTCTTAAGAATGGATATTTTTATCACTTTTTTAAATTAAAAGAAAAATAGTATTGTTTACGTGAATATTTTGAGATCTGGCTAACCTGAAAAACAGAATTCTTTACGTCATAAGGCCTTTTTATTTTGATGGTTTTTCGCCCTGTGGATCCTAAGAGGACCTTTTTAGCAAGTCCATTATAAATTTTACTGATCCACAATGGGGACCGGATAGTGACATATCCGGACGGATGCCTAAAATTTTTTGAATTTTTCGGCCCGTCCGGATTCGATCTTGGATCCCCAGAGCTGTATGCTGTCACATTAGTCGCTTGACTTCTATAACTTTCTTTGATCCATTGCACGCGAAATCACTAACAAAATGGATTAGGTTCTAAGCTAGTTTAGATTAAATTTACACAATGAATATTTACATTCTCTCATATTAAAGAATCAGATGAGTTGACACTGTAAACACTCTGATTATTAGAATATGAATATTTAGAATACAGAAACAGATCTTTCAATTCTTAATATATAAATATTCATTATAGATAAAAATACATAAACTGTATTACATTTAATATGTTAAGTTAGTTAAATTATATAAATATAACTTATACTATATTTATATAAAAAAGATTTTTAAAATAAAATATGATAATAGATGGCGCCACCAAAATTTTAAATGTTGCGGGGAAAGTTGAGCAGCTTGTTGCTGGTTTATTTCAAAGGCGTAAAAAAGTGCCATTTTTGGAATGATCTTTTTCATTTTTGCGTACAGTATTTCCTCTGTCTTTGTGAAAATGGGTTATTCAAACGAAGAAATATTTGGTATGCTGATGGCTTTAGGTGCATGCTACCAAAATTATTTCAGGCTACAAATCTTTATGGAAACCAATTAAAAATGGTTTACTTTTAACGTCTCTCTACTGAAAATATGAAAGTCAGAATTCGGGAAGGTTTTCATCAGACTGGTAGAAATAAATTACGAAATGCATTAAATGGTTTTCCTAAAAGAATAAATGCCTGCATTCTTGGTATTTAATTTAAATAAATTTTGAAATTTACTTCCAATACTATCATTTTTCTGTCATGTAAAGTTTTTTTGATAATTTAACCGATAAACTGAAAATGAGAAATCAGATTTTTAGCAAAAACTGGCCGATATGTTGAAAATGTGACCGACTACAAAAGTTGTTTATTTCGTCACGTACTATCCATATAATGGCTCAAAAGTGCTTTATAATTTTATAATTAAAAAAAACTATTTTTTAAATTAAAAAGCAACTTTTGATGACATTGGATGATCTTGAAAACCCGTTGATTTTCAAGATCATCCAACGTCATCAAAAATGTCCCCCTGTCTGTCTGATCAAAAAACTTGGTTATTAGTCCCATCTTCCTACTGAACGTCTCAGTCAATCACCTTGTATATAAATCCTCCAATGGTTTTAGTAAAGTTTGTTTTTTAAGAATCACTTTGCATAAGGAAATAGGAGCCGCAATTTTTCATTAGATATAACAAGAAACCTACTTTATGTAGAGTCTCTTCATTTTATGTGAGACTTTTTAGACAAAAATGTAAAGATTCTTCATTATCCTAGACAAAAATTGTTTCATTTATTTTTTAAAATGAAGCCCTCAAATCAAGAAAAATTTTAAGACGAAATATCAGTGTGTTTTTGAAAAATACGGGCCTAAATTACTGTATAGAATCTGTTTATGAATTGTTTATGAGAAATTATGCCAGTCTGGATCAGGATTCAATTTGGATCCAGATTTTGGATCTTCAATATAGAAAAACAATTGGCCGGTTATTGTAGCAGTCTACTTTTTGGGAAACCAGAAAAGTAGACTGAATCCGAAAGTAGACCGAAAGTAGAATCGAATCCGAACGTATAAAAAATCATAGGGATTTTTTTCGACTGTTCCGTATGGATATGTCAGGGATTTTTCGAGGGTCCCGTTTGGTTATAACAGGGATTTTTTGAGGGACGTAGTCTCTCACCATCCACCCCATCCACGGGTTTGGCCGACCCACGATGGGCTTGCTAAAATCAGGGCCCACAGTGCCCACAGGGCGGAAAGAGATAAAGAAATGCTTCGATGGAATTTTTATAACTATGAAGTATCACCTGAGCAATGTTTAGAAAAAGATGCAAGGTACTATATTTCAGACAACAATAACTTTGATACACCCTGATGCAAAAAATGCAAATTGAAAGTACACAATAAACGAAATATTAAAATTTTAATAACATTAAATTAATTCGGTTTTTATATATACAAGCTATGCTACAAGATAAGAATTATACTCGATCTATCAGGCATTAACGAAGGGGACAATAGCTTGAAGACTGCATACTTTATACCATTTATTTACATAATTTCAAACTTTCATCGATATTTATCTCTTCTGAGGTTTTTAATCTACGAACATTTTTGAATATTCATTTAATCACTATTAAAAAAATAGTAAAACAAATCTCTATTGAAAGGAATTTTATTACATAACAGTTTGAACTGATTATATAACAGTTTCCTATTATTCTAACTTGTCGGTCACGTTTTCCGGAAAAGATAACGAAATTTTTTTGATTTTCTTGTTAATCTTGTTAAGAACGAACAAACAATTAAAAAATATTATTCTAGAATTTTATTATCCTTTAATGAACAAGTTATTTCTAAATTTCACAATATTATTGTGAAATATCCTGAATGTTTTCCTCCTCTTTCCGCCCTGTGAGACTAACAGAATCCCCACCCTTTCCCTATATCCCATCGTGGAATCCACGATGGATATAGGGAAAAAGGGTTCCAAGCCCACAATGGGAACGTCTGGGTAGTGGGAGACAAGGCTCGAAAGATCCGGGACAGTTTGTTTGTTAAGTTATGGCAATGCAATACTTGGGCGATCTGCCTACGAGGAATGCCTTCCGGGAGGTATTTTTAAGGGAAACTGGCCCCTATTTAGGCGTTACAGACGTGGAGAAAACCCGGAAAATTTTACGTGGCCAGCCTATCCGAGCGAGGCGCGAACCCACGACCGAACTCCCAGTGTTCAAGGTACGAAGACCGGTTGGCTACTGGTGGGCCTAGATCCGGGACAGACTCCCATGAAAAATTCATGAGAATTTGCTCGCTCCAATTCGATCCAGGATCTCCCAGCGAGATAGGCCAGTTACTCTTCACATTATTTTTGTAATAATTATTTATTTAAATATTAAATTATCATTATTGAATTTTTAAAATTGTGAAGTTAATTTAATTACTAATTAACAGAAATAAAAAATATAAATTAAATATATGAATACAGTTTTGTAGAATCTGGGATCCAATTAGGGAGAAGTCATTTCAGGAATTTTTCATGGGCGGTCTAGATACAGTGGTGCCTCGTACAACGTACTGTACTTAATCCGTTCCAGGTGCACGTCCGTTAAGTGAAACGTCCGTCATACGAAACGCATTTTCCCATAGAAATACATGTTAAAACATATAATTCGTTCCGCAGCATAAAATAACCTTACTGTACCATAAAAAATGAAAATGGCGCAGACACCAATTATGCCGGGTAGTCAGATGTTGTGAGGAGGAGGTGGAAGAACACTTTCTTTACACATTCATACAGATACAGACTTTTTACACATTGCAGCGGGTCTTTTTTTATTGTTTTTTAATCGGAGTCAGATTCAGGAGAGGCTACCGGAACTTGCAGGGTCAACTTCTCTTGTTCCATCCTTTGTTTTTTGCCCGCTGGCTTCTTGAAAAACATGACCAAGGTGGTCTGTTTCTCTTTCTTCTTTAACACCTGTCGGAAATGACGGACAAAGGTGTCATCGTAGAGATCATTGATCCTGTTGGCCTCAGCTCTGTTTGGATAATGAGTGTTGGTAAACTCCTGAACCTCTCCCCATTCGACAAGAAAGTTTTTGTCAACTTTCACTCCTGATGATTTCTTGCTTTGTTTCAATTGAAATCACCTTTCTGTTTTTTTAGAAGCCATGATGCATTATAAATGACTTAACTTGCCAGATTATATGATACGAATAATTCTTTATTAATTAAGATCACTAAACACTTCTACGAGCTACTCTCGCTCCGTTTGTTTTTTACAACCTCTTTTCGTCCCGCCACCTCGGCATCTACACAATTACATTTCGTTTATTTGAATCGTCAACATATATTACATTACATTTAATGTTTATTTAAATCATCAACATATATTACATTACATTTCTACTTCAGATATACTAATAATACATTCTAATAATACTAATATATCCTAAAAATAGCAGATTGTCATTGGCAACGGCAAAAGAGTGGAAACATCATTCGCACTTGTTCGAAAAAAGTCCATTGTTCGTCTCACATAACTGCCGAACGGAAAGTCCGTTGTTCGCAGCAAGTCCGTTGCTCGAGGCGTACGTTATCCGAGGCACCACTGTACGTTCATTTTCATACTCTTAACGGGTTTAGCCAAGCCCCGTTTAGGCATGGGCCCATGCCCAAACAGGGCCAGACTAATCTATGACGGATATAAAAAAGGCCCTTTCTTCACAGTGAAGAAAGAATTTTAAAAAGAATCAAATTTTGTAATCATTGTATTAGAGAGAAAGTCTTCATCAATTTTTCCATGTATATATTGTTATTTTGAATTAAACGTATCATTATCATTCAACTCATTCATACGTATATCCGTATACCATCAATATTTCTACACTTACTGAACTATGTACTGTGAACTGCCCTTGAACTTTCGTATATAATAACGACTGAAACGAATCCCTTAGTTACAATAGGCCTACGTGCTACTCGAGATAAATAGCTTAAATTATAATTTTAAATTCATTTTAGGGAAAAAAATAAATAAAATTTAAAATTCAGATTACACTGCATATGTGCTGATGTTAGGGTGTGTATGTGCGACACGATTTTGTTCACCCACTTTAAAGTTTAATAACTCCTGTGCCTTTTGTCGAATATTTCTGAAATTTTGCAGAGACGTTTGTATATTAGAAACATTGATGCTATTAAATTTTGGTGATTAAAGGTCAAGGAGGTGGGAAGATAGAAGAAGATCGTGTGTCCTGGAGTCGGAGTTAATGACTATTTTACTCGTTATTAGCATTTACAATTTTTTTTATAAAACCCATCCCTACTCTCATAATTAACCTTTATGCCATTTTGTAATAATTAAAAATATAAAAAGTTTTGAAAACAAAATATTATAACAGATGACGCCACACGGAATTTTAAATGTTTGTGCCGGGAAAGTTAAGCAACTCATTGTAGGATTTTTAAAATTAGTTTCTTGTAATTTTTTGGATATTCTGTGGACGTAGGTCTTTCTATCACATCTATCTTTTGTTTTATAATTTTGAATATGTTTATTATAGTATTTATAGAATTTACAAAATCGAAATTTGTAAATTACAACTAAATAATGTATTATATATATATATTTATTTATTTTAAAATTTTAAAAATATTTTAACGGCAATCTTTCGTAAGCACTACTAAATAAATTGCACTCTCCGTAATGGTTTTGCGGATTTTACATTATATAAATTTATATAAAAAGACATCTTCACAAAATTTACGATTGTCTGATAGATCATCGTACATCCTAAAAGACTAAATATCATCAAGCATATATTTCTGGAATGCTTCTAGAGCTTCTACAACTCCAATTCAGAGGACCTGCGTTTTAGGCAGAGTCGAATTTACGCATAATTTGGCCTGTAAGACGAAACACCGAAGATTTTTGTCTACCATATAAGGTAATGCAAAGCCTGTGAGCCAAGCTTATCTGGAATAAATCCGACATTTGTTTTAGGTCGCCTACGCTTAAAACATGGGACCAAGCGTATAAAACAGCAACTGTTAAAATTAATATACAGTGCGATTATAAAGTCCTTCCGCAGTTGGCCACACCCTTGCGGTTCCACCGAGTGGTGACGTCATAATTCACTTTCTTTTGACGTGCGATCTGCCTGTGACGTCATTAATTCTTTCTTGGGAGTTCCACCCACTACAGAGGGACTTAATGATCGCAGTTAAAAGTTTTCGTCATAAAATTAACTTCTACCAATTTAAATTTTCCCTTAATTTAAAGAAATCGAATTAAAATAATTCCTTAATCTCTTTAGTGTCGTGCATTCTTATCAATAGAATTTATGTCTAGTAATTTATTTGGAAGGGTACTTTTATAGCGTGGCAGCACGACTTAAACAAGAAACGTTATTAAATTAATAAAAGGAAAGGAGTTGCATCGTATCCTTGAAAACAGCGATTGTCGTGAGTAAAAGTCAATTTTCTGTGTTTATGTAACAGTCAATGAATAATGCATGAGTTTGAACTGTTCCATTCGTTGTATCATTATAGAATTTGTAGAAAATTCTATTTATACACAAAAGAAATGACGTTTCGTAACAAATTTAGAATGTTTAACTGTCATGAAAATGGCTGTCATTTTCATGAAATGCAATTACATTTCGAAATCAGCAGCGCTTGAACAGGATCCATTCAATGCCTTTTGTTGTTCTTTTGTTTATTAATGGCTAGCTCTAAAATATATGTTAATGACATTTATAAATTCATAATTATGCTTCTTTTATTATTAATTAAATATTAAATTATGCTGCTCCTTACTAATTAGCAAGGAGCAACCAGTAAGGAAATTTGGTATCATAAGTTCATATATTTAAGCTGAATTGGGTGTAAAATGAATATATTACTATTATCATACAGTATTTTCATTTATAAGCTTATTGTAATGTGTACAGTCCGAGTACAGGGAAGTGTTTTAATGTATATGTATAGGGCTTATACTTTGCATACTGCTGAATCATACAATTATTCTTAGATTTCTTGGAAAAATATCAAGTTGGCTAGTTCTGTTTCCACGTGTTTTATTATAATACATCATAATTTGGGCATATATAATAAATCTTTGGTATGTGTGGAAACATTTCAAGTTTTGTTTATCATTGCTGACATCCTTGAATTAAGTTGTACACAAATGTTTACTAAATATAACAAGCTCTTCCCCTCCGCCAAATGACGTAAACACGCGAGCCCCTAAGCTGTAGCTTATGTATAAATCCAATCATGCTTTAGTAGATTGCTTTAGTTCTAATTATTGAAGATTTTCTGCTTCGACAGGAAAATTGGAATACTTAGAATATTCAGAGCAGGAAATCTGGAATTCTTAGACTCAAAGCAAGTAATTGAAGCAATAAAAAACATGTTTGAATTTAGGAGTATCCAGTAATGTATATAAATAGTTTTTCTGTCATTATGAGGAGTAAACACGAGGAAAAATTCATTATCATATCAAAATCTAAGTCAAGAATTTGATTGGCATACACGTTTGCAGTTGTTTAGAATAAAATATGTCAGTTTTGAAGTGCTTCTATATGTTTACGTGGGTGTAATTCATTAAAACTGAAAACCTGCTTAATTTATTTTGGCATACATTTTTCTATTTTATAAGATGACATCTATTGATAACAATTTAATACCCGGAAATGGATATTATTGATATTTTCTTTGGTTTTTTTCTAACATTTAGATCAGTGTTTATCAGGAAGGTGTCGCAAATGGCCCCTTTCGACTCCAAGATATTGCGAAAAGCTTTTAAGATATTTCAAGATTCCTCGTGCTAGGTTGGAAATTACTGATTTATATCAATTACAGAAACGTTTTTTCCTGAAAAACTCTATTTTTTTACTATCTAACACTATCTTTGATATACACTCGATAAAGCTCATATTCTTGTATACAGTTTATGGTAATTAGCATGTAATTTGTACCCGTGTTTCATGTTATTTTAAGTGGAAAAACCTTCTTAAAATTCATTATTAAATCTAATTTATCTCGAACATTGAATCGTTATATAAAATATTGTCGAATAAATTGTATATGAGCAGTAAATTACAATTAAATTTGGAAAATTCTAACTTTATCATACGCTTAATTGATGCATTCAACAGTTTTCGTGGACTGTAAAGAGTTTTATTTATTTATTATTTTATTTTATTGAATGTGTAGGATGCTTCGACGTGTTGTTAATATCAGACGTTTCAGTTGCATTTATTTTTAGAACACAGAAAAGTTTTCCTCTTGATTTCCGGATATTGCGTTTACCTCGTTTCTAATTTATTATTTTTTTATGTACTTCGCGCCGATTTTTTTTAATATAATCTACTGAATTAATCAATAAAAACATCTTTAAATTACATTTAAAAAAATAAAATTTAATGAAAATTTAACGTAGAATATCGTAATCACAGAGCTTCACCATAGAAGTTTAAAGACTATGCTAATCTCCTAAACTTCTATGTCAAGGTGAAGGCTCTGCGAGTGTTATAAAGCAGCGGTCCCCAACCTTTTTATCGTCGCGGACCGGTCAACGTTTGATATTTTACCGCGGCCCACTGAGGGGGGAAGTTGATTGTTTATATTTTAGATTGATTTAATTTAATAATTTTAATTTAATTGTATTTAAACATGCCTTCAAAATAAAATACAGTTACACCAAAAAATGAAATAATGTGATTTAACATTTTAACTCACTAGAACGCTAAATCAATGAGAACCCTGAGCTTGTTTCTTTGCAACGAGACAGTTCCATCTGGGGATAATAGAAGACAATGACACTCGAAGTGTGTTTCTTATGTCCAGTTTATTTCGTTGTTCCGTCGTCTATTAAAAGTCGCACAAACCCGAGACAAATACACCATAGTAAATAAAATGGAAATAATTTAATGTTCCTTGGGCGGCCCGGTACCATTTGATCCACGGACCGGGGGTTGGGGACCACTGTTATAAAGTATATTAAAGCATTATTACATTCTATGAGTAATTTATAATGTCCTATGGTAAAGTATTATATAGTACTGTACGTTAAGCATAAAATATCCCAATGTTTTAACACTGGCCTACTGTATACAGTAATGTATACTTTACCATAGACATTATCAGTATACATTACTCGTAGAACGTATTTATGTTTCAATATGCACATTTAATTATACAGTATTTTCCCTGTTTATGTAATAAACACGGAAAATACTGTATAATTAAATGTAAAGCACTTTACCACAAAGCAATATGTAATGCTCTGTGGTAAAGTACAGTATTAATTAAACAGTATATTAAAACACGAGTATGTTCTATGAGTGATGCATAATGTTCTATAGTAAAGTGTAAAGTATGTTCCATAAGAAGCAATTAAAATGTATACTACAGTACATTTCTTCTTATATTAACAAATTTATAATTAAACTTCCTTTAAAATTAATCTCAAATTGTGTACAAGAAGCGCAATTTTTTAAATTAAATTTAAATTAAGTTGATAATGTATTTAAATAAACACTTGCAAGATGCTTATCTCCATCCACAGCGTGTTTCTAATCACGATTCCTTCCATTAAATTTATTTATTAATTTAAAATATAATTTCGCAATTATTTTATTTATTAATCTAAATAAATTACAAAATAATTTCGGAGAAAATCGGCGTGTTTTAAGCTCGTAAAGTCCATTTTCTCTCAATATTCTAAGAATTCATTTAACGTAAATATTTTATTTAATGTTTAATTTTTTTTGTTTATGTTTTAAACAGAGATACGTGCCGTTTCGTACAAAATTAGTATTTACGTTCCTATTGAAATTACAGTAAATTCTTAAATTCTTAGTCTAATTTCCTTTGTTAAAGGAATAATGTTTGTACAGATTGTGTTTGCCATTTATTCAACTGTATAAGAATAGATGTGGGACAGATTGCGTCAATTTGGAGAAACGATTAACGAACGGCTTGTAAATCGTCCGACATCGTTCTATATTATTAAATAAAAATAACGCGGTCAAACCTGCAGTGACGGACACCATCCGACTCCGAACGGCAGCCATTTTTTTTTCCTGGAACGTGCGCTTTTGTCTGAATACGGCATGCCACTAAGTCATTTTGACGTCATTCTTAAAGTTTTCTTAAGAGAAAGCGTATTTATGACGTCAGTTTGACGTAAACGTGTATGCTATTTAAACAAAACGAATGCACCTGAAATAATCTCCAAATAGCGGCATTCCTAACGATGGCAATTGTTTATTTTACCGTCAGTGGTCGTTGTTTACAGGTTTCTGTATTAGATTTATTTTAAAGTGTAAAATCTAGAAGGATTTAAATTTAAAAGATAATTATTTAAATTTCTTAATATTTTTTGCTGTTTTACGGTACTACCACACCTTGTTTATATCCTAGTAATTACACAGAGTGTTGCGTAGTTTTGCAAGCGAAAAAGGAAGTAATTTCTTGATAAAATTTGCATAGAACATTGTACAAATGTACAGAACGTAACTCTTCATTAAGCAGAAAATTTGTTTTTAAAATTGAAATTAATTTAATATAAATATATTTAAAGAAATTAGCACGATTTTACTTTTCCGGCTGTTATATATAACAGGTGGAAAGTATGGCGCTCGGGACACGATTTTGCTCACCATCTTTGAAGCTTAATTAATAACTCCTGTGCTTTTTGTCGAAAATTTCCGAAATTTTGCAAGGAGGTTTGGGTATTAGGTGGATTGATCCTATTAAATTTTGGTGGTTAAAGGTCAAGGGGTGGGGAGATAGAGTCGACTAGGGTCGGACTTAATGACGATTTTACTCCTTATTTACAATTTTTTATAAAACCCATCCCTACCCTCAAAATTAAGCTTTTTGCCATTTTATAATAATTTAAAATATAAAAAGTTTTTTAAAATAAAATATAGTAACAGATGGCGCCATTAGACATCGCCGGGAAAGTTAAGCAACTCGTTGCTAGATTTAAAATTTTTTTTTTTTTAAATCGCTTATGAAGTTTATTTAATGTTGATTTCATGAAATAAAGAATGTACAAATATGTTGGCTTGACGGGCTCAGGCATGGATAATCTGCCAATAGGATATGGTATCTTAAAGGATTTTCTATGAGAAATTGCCCCAATTTAGGTGCTACAGGATATCGCCTCTTAGGAGGACTTTTTACGGGAAATTGATCCCTATTTAGGTATTACAATGAGAAGAAAATCAGGAGAGTTTAAGGCGGCCAGCCCATTGGAGAGACGTGAATTCATTCGATCACTGGTAGGATCGTTGTATAATTGATATTATGCTTCTTTAAAAGTTTATGAAATCGCGTTTTGATTTCATTATCACGACTACTCTTCTATTAATCACCATCACAATTTTATAAAAATTTTACGAAATGACGCCGATCAACTAAACTAATCGAAACATATTGCTAAATAACCATACACATTGCACGAAATTTGCAAGTTCACGATCTATTGAAGAATTTCATGAAATCAAGTGAATATACTTGAAAGACACCCGTAAAGAATCATGTGTATTTTACGAAATTTCAAATTTCATGGTTACTTATTGATATATTTCACTTCCGCGAATTATTCGAATGTTTAAAAGAGAAACATGAGCATTATCCTGAAATTTTTTGAAATTGAAATTCAACCCATTAATTCTCTAAACAGCAAGTAATTATATTTAAAAAAAATTCTTTCAGTTATATAATTTAAGTTGGGAACACCCTGCCATTTGCAATTATGTGAAGGTTCATTAGCCTCATTATCTAACATGCAGAAAAAAATTTAAAAAATAAATAATAAATTTATATATGTTAAAATATTATGTAATTCGAGGAAATTTCCTTTCAAAAATACCCCGATTTTACGTAATTTTAATATTTGTTAGGTCGGTACGGAGAAGGAAAAGTATACGGACGACTTGCCCCTCCATATAACGAAGATTCAATTAACGAGTTATCAGACAGATTCTTCTTTATTTTAAATTTATTTAAATCACAACCGGTCCTAAGGTTAGTTTTTATAGGACCGCCATTGACCTGTAGATCCTGTCTACGAAAACGAAAGTGTTAAGTGTTTGTAAGGAGCCATTAAAAAAATTCTTTTATGTCCGTCTACTACAGTCTCCAAGTATTCGAGGCTTTGTATAATAATAAAAAAAGCAATTAAATTATTAATTTTTAAAGTTTTATTGGATGTTTTTTAAGTTTTAGTGCGTGGTAGCTGCCCCGTAAATTTCGTAAGGACCACTTTAAGTAGTGAAAATCACCTTAATTAAGTTGAATGTTGACCTTGTGCGTATTTTTCTTAGAAATGATTCGAGTCTTAAACATATAATTGATTTTCAAATGCATTTTTTTTTTATCAGTAAAAGTGATACGGATGAATCATAAATTTTGATAATATATTTAGAAGCTATGCAGTTATTGATGAGAGACACATCCGTTATTTATCAGTTGCGAAATTCCAGTTCTTTCATCAACTATAGTACTTTGTGACGTAGCCTGTACGAGCTCCTTGAATTTATTCAATGTATTGTTGGAGAACACAATAACCAAACGTGGTCAGTCGCCATTTTCGGAAGCGTCCGGGTTCAATTCCCGTTCTGTATACACGCTTTATCGCTAGTAAACTATCGTGTGCTCTATAGTTCAACGGATTTTTAAAAAGGTAAACGTCCATTATGAAAAAAAAGAGTCTAGTGTTAGCAAATGACAGGAAATCCTACGTTGCTTTTTAAAACTTCCTACAAAAAACTATTCGACCCTAACTAAGGGGGACGTCCATTAATTATGTGTACAGTTTAAGGGGGGAAAATTACGAAAGGTACGTCATTTGTACACAACGAGGAGGGGGTCGAAACATTGTCTACGTGGAGTTGTTTAACGGGGAGGTACTAGTTTATTCAGGTGGTTAGCAAGAAAAAATTTGTACGCTACCGGTTAGCATATTTTTAGAACTTTTCTTTCATTTGGGGGGTCCACGAACTATTGTATGCATAGTTAAAGGGGGGTTTGATTAAAGTATATTTTACGCGACAGGAAGGGAGGGAGGGTCAAAAAAGGCTCAAAAACAAATGGAGGAGGGAGGAGGAGGAGGACGTTAGTTACAATCGTTACGTTTTAAGAACGTCAATCGACGAAGGGATAATTATTAAACTTAAATTACACAATCGTTACTCGTCACAGAACTTTCGTCAAAAGTTGCTTTTACTTCCACGAATCGAGATACGGGATGTTGATAAACTATTTAACCATTTCCAACAGTTCCTTGACATGATATCAGGCTAGGAAGCGCAGCCCGAAGCTACTACATCCAGAAGGACAACTACCTGTTCGTTATCGTACTCACTGACTATATATATACACACACGCAAAGGTGCCGTACGTCACGTTTGTTAATGCACAGTCGAGCGAGCATGTTGGGATTTCGCAGCTCTCTCTTCATCTTTATCTCCTTACTTGTCACACAAATTGCAGAAATTCGTTGCAAAAAGTGAGTTAATTTTAATTCTAAGTTTTTAAAATAATTCTTATAAATTAATTAATAAGTAATTTTAAATTTCTTACTTTATTTTATTTATTTATTTAAATAAAATTTTGTATTTTTTCTTCATCACTCTTCAGATTTTTCATTTAAAAAAAATTTTCTTTAATTCCTCTTTAATTTTTGTTCAAAACTTAAAAAATTAAATAATTTTTAATACTTTTCAGTAATTATTTTATTTCATTATGTATTGAAGGTCTCTTTCTTCAATTCTTTCATTTTTCCCCCTTATAATTTGATAAATTTTGATCATTTTTATGATTATTTTTCACAATTACTTTATTATTTTATATAACAAAATAATATTTCATTATATTCCTTAATATTTCTTTGAAATTCTTCATTTAATTCTTTAATTTTCATTGATAATTCGATAAATTTAAATAATTTCATTATTTTTCTTAATATATTTGTGCATATTTTATTAAATAATTAATAATTCTCACATTAATTTTACTTTAAATTATATAAAAATTTGTTTTAAAACTCTTAATGATGGTTTTTTAAATAATAGAACTTAATACAGTATCATTAAAATTTATATAAGTATAAGAGTATCCACTTACATAAAACTAATTATTATATAATTTGAGATGAAGCCTTTATTTGAAATTTCAAAGTTTAACGTTTAAAAAACTCATTTTACTTACTAAAAATTTCCAAACTTAAATATTATATAAATTCTTTTAGTTCTCAGTTTAGTATTTAAGATATTAATTATGAAATTTAATACTTATGTGATGAGTAAAAGTGCAAAGTGTATCTCCAGAATGGAGCATGATGATAATAAAGGTCAGTACAAGGCTCAGATCTATATATATATACCTCGTATATATGTATATACACTGGCTCCTAGTTCTAAATAATGAAGAATAGAACTCTTAAGCTTATCTGTATAAAATTTTAAGGAAAATTTAAGGAAAAAAACGAATAAAATGTTGATTGAAATAGCTATAAGAAGCGTCTGACATACTTATATATGTATACATTTCTATTATCAGATAGTTGCTTTATCTTCATTGACTGGCTGACCGTGACCTGTAATCTATCATGTAATCTCCAGACATAATTTCTAGAAAACAAGGTCATGAAATAATTCCCAAACTTAAATTTTTAAACATAAATTTCTTCATGTTTTTTAAGGAATTTCATCGTCATCTCGCCGAAAGAATTTGATATCGGAGGGAAGGAATCGCTCCACGTGACTCTAATTGATGTGGATACGCCCGGAAAAGTAACCATTCGACTAATAAATAATACAGGGACATTATTTAGCGAAGTAAATCAAGATTTTGAAAAAGGTAATTTGTTAAATTATCCAATTATTAAGTTAAATTTCCCTTATTTATAAAAAAAAATGATCCTTTGGAAATTGTAGAAGGGAGTAAGAAAGTGGAACTGGAAGTTCCTAAAGATTTGGAAAATGAGCCCTTCAATTATTATCGCCTTCAAGTGGTTGGGAAGTTTGGAGATTACGAATTTGACAAGAACGAAACAGTAAATTTAAGAAATCGCAAGGAGTTAGTGTTTCTGAGTACAGATAAACCATTCTATAAAGCTGGACAAACAGGTAGGACACGTTTAAATTTCTGTTTATTGTGATTGCAAAATTGTGGAATATGCACTGTAATGTATTGTTTAACAAGGTTATTTAGTGCTTCCAGGTAATATTGAATAGATATCCTGTTTTTTTTTTTCATTTTCCCCCTGTATCAGGAAATTCTTTTTATGATACACAATGCTGGATAAGGTGTTGTTAACCTCACAGATGCAATACATTTTTAGCCATTGGCACATATTTTTCTGCCTTAAATCTAGCATTATAAAACATTTTACAGGTGGAAAATTGTCACGAAAGCATTTTACACACGAAAAATTGTCACAGAAGCATTTTACACACGGAAAAACTTTTAGAATCTTAATTATTTTAAAATATAAAATAAGTTTATCTAGCTAATAAACTTGCGAATAAACATACAACTGAACTATCATAAAAAATAAATTATAGAGTAGCTTACGATGACATTAAAATACACTTTTAAACTATTTTATTGATAAAACTGCCCTGGATTCAACTTACATTGAATCATTTTCTGCATTAGGATCAAGATCTATGCAATAAAATGCAAATTAAAGTGTAGATCAGTTAAAAATCTACTTAATAATACGATTTATGGATCATAAGTTAAATATGATATTACAGTTAAAAAATTCAAGCTCAATTTGATAAGAGGGAATCAGGTTGTAAAATGAGCAAAGACCTAGTTTCATGATAAGCTCTAGAAAATAGTTTCTAGTTTTCTTTTAAATGAGATCTAGAAATCAAAACCTATTTAATAACAATATTACATTACATTAAGAATATCAGGAAGGTAATTACTTTCTTAAGATATAATTTAATTTAATTTAATTTAAAAATAATAAATAGAGGAGCCTTTCAATAAGAGCCAGTTTAATAATTTAAATAGATTAATTTAGTCTACTAAAAGCCAATTTTACTGTTAGAATCTATTTACACATTTATTTACACACATTGAATTATTTTTAATTTTCCTGGTGTTATATAACAGAGAGGTTATGGAGAAAAAATTTTTCATTAGGATTTTTGGACTCGCAGAACCTCATTATTTTTAAGTTTTTGGTTTTTTTTTTGGCGTCCAGAAATGCAAAAAAAAACTTATTTTTTCTGTAAGAATGGATGTTAGCGCGTATGGGTGTGGGAGGCAGGGCCGTACCGTGCTATGATGCAGAGATGCGGCCGCATCAGGCGGCACCGTATGGGGCGGCATAAGCGGCATTTAAGAGGCGGCATTTCGAAGACTTGCATCATATTAAGAAAATCTACCGCACGGCCCTGGTGGGAAGGGCTTGATTTTTTCACCCACTTTAAAGCTTAATAACTTCTGTGCGTTTTGTCGGAAATGTTTAAAATCTTACAAGAAGAATTGTATGTTAGGGGGAAATATTTCTAGAAATTTTCAAGAAAATCGGGCCATTGGTTCGGGAGATATTAAGGGTGTGAGACCATATCTCAAAAAAGCTTCCAAGTTATAAATGCTTTTTATTCGTACAGATTTTTGGTTTACCGAAAAATAAATAAAAAAGAATAAACATAAATATTTTTCGCCGGAAAAGTTCTGCAACTCATTGCTGAATTTTTATATTTATTTATTATATAAATGAATTTTATTATATTGCTTACACTCCTTGTAAATATAGGTTCACTCTATAAAATATTTATTTAATTTTAATTCTCATCTACCTTTTGACTTGGAAAATCATCACTTTTATGGCTTTTTTGCCACAAAAAATCATACCAAATCAATTAATTAATCAAGAGCCAATTGTTTTGATACTTTAAGGATATGTTTACTCTTATTTGTAGAAAAATGTTTCCTTAATAATATATTTTTGATTCATAATCATTAGCACGAAAAATCGAGTTGCATAAAAATTTCAGGTTGCATGTCTTGCAACCTGAAATTTTTATGCAACTCGATTTTTACTTGTAGATTGTTATTGATTCTAAGTAACTTTAGACAATTCGAAATTGCTGATGATTTGCTTGTAACATGTTACAAAGCTTTTTATTCAACACATTTTGCTTGTAATTTGTAAGTTTAAAGGTTGTAACAACTACAAGCGCCTTATGCAACAGAGTCTTGGAGAACATCTTCTACAGGATCCTGTTGAAAGGCGGGCCTCGACCTTCCTAAGCAATCTTCTCCAAGCCTCTCGGTTCTTCGCTGTATTTCTTCAAAATTTTCTTTAAATATGGAAAAAATCTCGGTCTACAGAGTGTAACCATCTGAATGTTAACAATCCTTTTTTTCTTTTACCCTTTCGGATGAAAGGGCCAGTGTTTCTTGTCAACATTGTTTCTTTAACAAACTAGTTCTATCCTGTGCAAGATGTGTACAACCAATTTACTGTGACGTATTTAATAATATCCGGTTCTTTGTAAAGTACAGTACATAGCTCCCTTGTACTTTCATCATTGTCCCTCTTTCTTGATGTTAACAAAGAACTTTGCTCTGAAAGAATCATGATGTTCTTTTGTCATTTTCGTGAGGAGTAGATAAAATAAGTATTTCGTATAACAACCCTTTCATTTTCCTTGATATATATTGCAATTTCGGTTGTCTTCCTACCATGTTACGTTAAAGAAAATTAGAGAATTTAAGTTAAAAAAAAATTAGAAATAAGTTGAAAAGTAAAATTAACTTATAATATATTATTTTATTTTCCAGTTAAATTCCGAGTTTTTATTATAAATTCCGATTTAAAACCGCTGAAAGAGACTCCGGTAAGTAATAATTATTAAATTTGAAAATGATATTTCCTGTTGAACGATTGTTCTCTTCCTCATTAAAAATACAATTTAGCCAATTTAATGATCATATTGTATAATTGCATAAATATTACACCGTACAAATATTTTATTCACGAATTTTACAACGATTTTAATTATTTTGTACACGAATTTCAGGTTGGAAGCGTATGGATAACCGATAACAATAGAATACGTATAGCGCAATGGATGAATATCACATTCGATAATGGTAAATTATTTTATTATAAACCAGTAAATTAAGATTTTATTTTAATTTTTAACGTATTATTCAGGCTTTATTCATCAAGAGCTCGAACTTCCTGACGAACCAGTTCTTGGTACTTGGACTCTTCATGTTCAAATCGATAAACTTTACACTGTCAAATATTTTAATGTTAAGGAATACGGTAAATTCATTAGTAATTATAATAATTTAATAAATTTGTATGCAAATTTTACGATAATTAATTAATTTATTTATTTTTGTAGTGCTTCCAACGTTCGAAGTCAAGATCATTCCACCTCGTTACTTCTTCAAGGATCAGCAGAATGTCACGTGGAAAATATGTGCAAAGTAGGAATTTTTCATGTAAAATCGAAAACAAATCAATATCACTGCCAGATTTTTAAACATAATTGAAATTTTATTAGGTACACGTACGGTAAACCCGTTCAAGGGAAGCTGATAACTGAATTAAAATTATCGCCAGCTTATTATTATAAACCGGGACCCACTTTAAGGAATGAAGAAGAGGCAGGCCTTTTATTTATAATTTAATCTACATTTATATAGATTAAACTTCATTATTTCTAATTATTTATGTATTATTGCAGATTAGCGGATGTACGGATATCACTAGAGATATAAAGGAACTGTACGAATACCGTGAATACGGATACAACGGTTTGCAACTGTTCGCTGAAGTTACAGAAGAAGGAACTGGTATAAATCATGTTTGTAGGCTTATTTGTGGTTCCTGATCAATTTTAAATGGCTTATTTCATTTGTAGATACTAAAGTTAACGCAAGTTCTAATATTTATCCTTCTACCAACGAGTATACTATAACGAGAGAAAACTATCTTCAGTATTTCAGAGCTGGAATACCAATCCGTACCAAGGTATATAGCGTAAACTGTATTTTATATATATGTACTGGGATATATTTTACAAATATATAAGGTATTAAACCAATTTTCTGTCGTAGGTTAAAGTTCAGAAACCAGATTCCACGCCTGTTGCAGGGGAAGCTCTTCGTGTTTGTTGTGTGACAAAGAGGGAAAACTGGAGGAACAATCGACAAATGACAGATAATAGTAACACCTGTAAAACGTATAAAACTGATGAGAATGGAACTATTGTGATCACCGTTCCACCTCAACCATCCAACACACTGGACATCAGCATTGAAGTAAATGGCTTACAATAATAAACAAGGTGAATTTTGATGAATTTGCAATTTGAAATTTCAATGTTTATTTTTTGCAGGTAAAACCAGAAGACGAGAAGAAAACCAACATACAGAGCCTCAGGTTTAGTTTGTCGCCCTGGTTTTCTCGTACTGGTCATAATTTACAAATAGAACCGATACAATCTGCCGTAGAATGCGGGAGTGAGGCCGAAATTACTGTGCTGTATACGAGCAAAGAATCCGAGACTAGAAAAATTTACTATCAGGCAAGACTATCGATCGAAATTATTATTATTTTAAAATAGAATAAAGTATGTAATTTTTAAAAAATATAATTGTGTAGGTTGCATCGAAAGGCGACATTGTCGACGATGGACTTCTGACCTATACTTTCGATCCGAAAGACGATCTTTTGGGACAGACAGACGATACGTATTTAGATTTTTCACCAGATTTAGCATGCGAGAAAGAAGAGAAATGGGATAATAAATTTCCAAGTTTGGATCATCTTGGAAAATTCACTTTAAAATTGAATATCGACTTTAAAATGTCACCCAGAGCCCGATTGCTCCTGTACAGCGTGACTGAAGATGGAAATGTCTACGCAGATTCCACTAGTTTTAATGTTAAACCCTGCTTTAAAAATCAGGTAATTTATTAATTATTTGTTTTTTCTTTTGATTATAAATTATTCTAAGGCCATATTTTGTGTAGGTGGAGATGAAATTTGCTGATAGCAGACAATTTCCTGGAGCTAAAACGTCCATACACGTATCAGCAGCACCGCAATCCGTATGCAGTATTGGAGTTGTAGATAAAAGTGTTTATTTACTAGAAGGGGGAGACGTTCTCACTAAATCAAAGGTAATTTACTTTTATAATTTTATAGCAATAAATGAAAAACGAGTAATTATATTAATGGGTTCGGTTCCCATTTAGGGGTAAACTCTTCTGTTCTTCTTTTTCGATTGATTTTAAGAGCTGAAAAAGTTGATAAACATTAGCTTAATAATGTATTTTATCGAAGAAAAATGAAATTAACGACCAGAAGCAATTTTTATCTTTAGTTTTTTTCTGCTTTTTCGGGCATTAAGAGACCTTTCTCCGTGTTAAGGGCTATCATAAATTACGTACACGCAGATATTTGTGCTGTGTTTTACACTTAAGGGGTTGATCGACGATATGTGTTACTTACTTTATGCACGATCCCTAAACCGCCCATAGAAACTTGAGATTCCAACTCTTACTCGAAGCTTGATCCTCCAGAATAGCAGGTTAACGCTTTGTCATCATCAAGTCGTCTCGTAAACCACTTCAAGATATAGAAATAACTCAATATACAGAAGATATTTACTAAAAAATAGCTTATTCGTCATCCCCAGGTTGCGACAGAAATACGTTATTAACGAGTTTATGTAATTAAGCTGTATTAATGTATTAAATGTATTTCAGATTTACGACCACTTGAGAACGTTGGATACTTCAGAATACGCACATCCTTATCAAAGAACATCCGATTACGAGTACTGCTCCAAGAAGAATAAATCAACAGAACCTCTTGGCTTTGTAGATGCCATTACAGCTTTTACGGTAAGCAAGATAATTAATTAATTAAATCTTTAATTCTTGATATTTACAAATTACCGTTTACTGCAGAAATCTGGAATGATGATATTATCTGATTTGGAATTGGAAACAAGACCTTGTAAGCCTTCATTTTCGTGGGGAGGAAGATACGGAATAAGATCCTGTCCTCAGTACGAACCATCATACGTAGCACTCTGTAAGATATAAATAAAGTAAAATAAACTTTATTTTTATAAATTTAATGCTACTATTCACTAAACATTTCCATTTATTTTAAATGTAGCTTCTCCTAATCCGCAGAGTTTTAATAGAGGTAAGCCATATCTAACTACCTCTGTATCAGGGGGTGGTGGATTTGCAGGAATGCCAGGATCTCCTGGAATAAATTTGGAATCGCGACCTCTTTCTTCTGAAGATAGTTCGGATAGAGGATCAGTAGGATCACTCGACCAATCAACAAATACTGTTCGTGTTTACTTCCCAGAAACGTGGTTGTGGGGACTTTATTTTGTAGAGTAAGTCAATTTTTATTTTCTCATTAGAAGTTTCTATACGATGCTTTATATTTTAATTAAGAAAAATTAATATTGTATTAAATTTAACATATATCTTTGTTTTGATTATGAAAATTCAGTTAAAATATAGTTTCAACTGATGTCCTTTAAACAAATTTTACTCAAGAAAAAAATACAATTTTGTAAATAAATTCTTAATAGAAAAATATTATTTTTATATAAAATAATACATAATTACTTGAATATGATTGTATAAATTACTATGTAAAATTTTTATCCTGGAAGTATAAATTTAATGCGAGTAGTGGATCCTCTCTTCTTTTTGCAAATAACATTCAATTGTTGAGTGTTATAGGCAAAGAGGAGAGAAGATCCACAGCTACTTGCATTAAATTTATACAGGAAAGAATTTTTATAGTTATTAACACAATCAGATTCAAGAGGAAAGAGGAGACAAGATTAACAATATCTTGTATCATCATACCTTTGATCTTTGAATGCCAATCTTTGGCCAATCATCACATCTTTGATGCTCATCTCTAAGTGCCAAAGGTTGGTGCGCTTCTGACATTTAACGCTTCATAAAATTTATATTTATAACGAATGCAATTCTTTCAAACATTTTTACTATTTTTAGTATTTTTCCATTTCGACTGATTTGATAATATTTTTTTAAAAATTCATAATAATTATTTTATTCGTTTTTTGAAACCGTGTTTTCGTATTTATTTACTATTGAACACAAGACTGTTATTATTTAAACACTTGGCGTTTATCCACTTTATTCAGTTGATACGGACACTTTTACACGTTCGGGCGTATAGCCCCTCATCAGTCAACATTAAAAATGCAATGACACTCGTACAGCACAAGTTATTATTCACTGCTGTTAGGATAAGTTGATAACATTGATATCCTAAACTGTTAAGTAGGCATAACACATCCTTTATCTTCTTACTAAAGTTGATAAATATATAGGCAGAATCCTTTCTAATGATTAATGAATATATTTGGTTGGTTTCTCACAACTTTTCATTTGCACATAACAGGATCAGATAAACCTCACTTAGCATATTATAACAAATTTGTTTCCTGGACATTACACAATCAACTGAATAAAGTGGATAAACGCCAAGTGTTTAAATAATAACACAGTCTTGTGTTCAATAGTAAATAATTATTTTATTTATAAAATTGACAAAATTAAATTTCTTATGAAATTCTTATGACAAATAATGAAATATCCACACTTATTAAGGTAAAATTTTCATAAGGATAAATCTTGAATTAAATTTTTCAAGTTACTTTAAATTATTTACATCCAGTTAATGATATTATTAATAAATTTAACTTAACAGAAACATTGCATGTTACTTGAAAATGTTTCTAGCTTCTTTAAGAATTCAAATAATAATTATTTTTCTTTTAATAAAAGTTATTAAGTAAGATTCAAAATAAAATAATAGACATACAGAGTGACCCAAAAGTAAGTTAACTATTGTAAAACTTAATTTGCTATCACATTCAAATATTTTATTACCGACCAATTTTGTAAGATTTCTCCAGCCTTTTGCTATACTTTCCAAAGTTGATAATTTGTTTGCAATTAAGACGGTTAACCCATTTTTGGGCCCACCTTATCCAGGCATAGATTAATTTTTATGTAGAAAACATAGATTATATATATAGTATTGTATACGAGATATATTAATACATTTCTTTGATCAATGTACAGAATTTATGTTGAAGACTAGAATTAACACATATGATTTTATTCTAAACTTTTGTTTTAAATTTTCAGTAAAGAGGGTAATCTATTCTTAAAAGAAAACATGCCAGACAGTATTACAGAATGGGAAGGAACTTCTGTTTGTTTACATCCTGATGCGGGTGTAGGAGTATCCGATCCAGCATCCATCGTGGGTTTTCAACCATTCTTCACTTCGGTCACTCTACCATATTCTGTTATTCGTGGAGAAATCTTACCTGTTATTGTCACCGTATTTAATTACCTAAAAGAATGTTTACCAGTTAGTAACGTAACTTCCTCAATTTTAGTAACATTGAAGAACCATTCATAATTCAAGCATTTTTTTTTTTTTCCTGTTTACAGATTCAGATAACGTTAGATCAAACTGATGATTTCGAATTGCACAATGGTACACTCATCAGTAATGAATGTGTTTGCGGTGATAAAAGTGTGACGAGACGTTTCTTTATCAAGCCAAAAACTCTAGGAACTGTAAACATCACTGTTACTGCAGCTACTGTTAAAGATGAGGAATTATGCGAGAATTTCGACGTTGCAGACATCAGCAGAAGCGATTCTTTAACAAAACCTTTGATAATAGAAGTAAATGTTCACTTTCGAAAGTAATTTATCAAAATTTTAGCGATATTTACTGAATGACAACTGTGTTTTTATAGGCAGAAGGTTTCCCTAAAGAAGAAACCAAGAATGTATTCTTCTGCATGGAAGGTAAATAATTTGATTATTAAAAATGAGTTCACGATTTAAAAATTATAAAATGTAATAATTATAACATTTGTTTATTGAATTTTTCTTGTAAAATTCAAAAATATTCTGTTTATAGATGTTGAAGACAATGTTTTTAAAGCCGAACATGAACTCTTACAAAGTGAAGATTTAGTGGAAGGATCAGACAGGGCTTACGTTTTCGTCACAGGTAATTAAACTCAATTATAATTAGCATATAATTGTCTTTTAAATCTAACTTTTTAATGTTAAATTTTAGGAGATGTCATGGGCCCAACTTTAGAAGGATTAGAAAGATTAGTCAGAGTACCAACGGGATGTGGTGAACAAAACATGATCACTCTCGTACCTAATATTGTGGTCTTGGATTATTTGAAAAGTACTAACAGATTGACGGAAAAAATTAGGCAAAGTGCTATAAATAATATAAAACAAGGTATTAAATTTATATTAATGCTTTTCTTATGTAAATATTGTCATTTTTCAAACTTTTACAACACAAATTGTAAACATGCAGATTATTTCTAAGGGTGGGTCTATGCAGACGCGAATTTAGAGCGAGCGAGAGGTTGCGAGCGATTTAGTTTTCTCAAAGATAAACCATGCACAAACGAGAAGCGAGAAATAACGCTGGCGAGAGCAATTTCTGGTTCTCGCACATATCTGACAGAGTTTGATATTTATCGCGTCTCGCCTCTTCTCGCCACATATTCTCGCTCGCTTAGAAAATTCGCTCGCTCGCGTCTGCATAGTCGCACCCTAACGTCCTAATATTTGAGATATTCTGGATATATTTTAGGTCTCTCGACAATTGTTAAAATACAAAGAAATGATTAAATATAATACAGTATATCGAAAGTAACGAAAGATCAATGGCCGCTTTAGGCATAAATAACCTAAGGTCTTGCGTTCTTAACTATCTTATAAATACATACAGTATTTATTGATACGCGATCTCTAGACATATCCTATACAAGATTTGCATTATATAAACTTATACTAAAGGACCTTGCAAGTCTGTTTGCCTAAGGCCTGGTGCAATTTAAACTGGCAGTCACTAACGAAGAGTATATATGTTTAAATTTTGCAAATATTTCAGTTTCTTTGAAGAAATAACGAAATTTTTGCTAAAAATTTTAGTCAGATGTGATTGCCACATCAAATATTACAATTATATATAATAAATTAGATTTTAGGACTGAAATCCAAAATTAATTTATATTATGCCTTCTTGTAAACTATATCATAGAAAATAAGGAAATTTTATTTAAAATTCATAACTGTTTATCGGCTGTCATCTTCAGTATTTGATTTTTTAAAATAATAATTAAAGTTTATATTAATTTACAGGATATAGACGACAACAGAAATACAGACATTTTGATGGATCTTACAGTGCTTTCGGTGAGCACGATCCATCTGGAAGCATGTGGTTGACTGCATTCGTACTTAGATATTTTGTAAGAACTTCAGACTATATAGATATTGATAAGGAGGATTTAGAACGTAGCAGCAAATGGATAATGTCTCGTCAACTACCTAATGGTTGTTTTCCTGTAATTGGCATGGTTCATCAACAACAAATGAAAGTAAGATATTTATGGATATAAAATAAGAAAATTGTCAGGTTTTTTTATTTTGATTTATTAAAATTTTAAATATTTCTTTTACTTAGGGAGGGGTTAAACAAGATAATCCAGCAACACTCACTGCTTACGTTTTGGCTTCTCTTCTTCTTCATGGAAATGTTAACGAGTCTGTGATAACAAAAGCTAAAGAATGCATTCAAGCTAAAAATAATCCAAGTAGTTATGATTTATCTATTTTTGCATTTACCGCTGCTTTGGCCAATGATCCCGATGCAATAACATATCTAGAAGAATTAAACAAGAAGGCAGTGTCCGAAGGTACTTTATCTCTCTTTCTAGTTAAAGCCTCTCTAAATTTTCAAAAATTAATGGTTTTATCCTTTAGGTCTCTCTGTTTATTGGGAAAACAAGGACAAATCTATCGCTATAGAAACAGCATCTTACGCCATATTAGCATCTCTAAGATTAAGTGATGAAGAACATTTCAGAAGGACGGGACCGATTGTGAGATGGTTGTCTTTACAGAGAAACTCCTATGGAGGATTCAGGTCTACTCAAGTAAATATAAATTTTTTTTATTGATCATAATTTTCTTTTTTTGAATATACATTCGAGAGACCCTTTGAGGACTCATTGGCTTCACTGGAGATGCGCGAGCGCGTCTCGAATCCCAGAGCTTCCTCCTGAAGCATGCTTAAATCTGAGTTACAATAAATATACATATGATATAAAATTAATTTGGTTTGAATAACACAATTTTTAATCGATTTAACACATTGCAGGATACCATTATGGCCATACAAGCATTGGGAGAATATGCCGTTCGTGTCAACCGTCACGATCTGAACATGGGATTGGCTGTTAAGGGTAACGATTTAGACGAAATCTTCCAATTAAACGAAGGAAATGAACTTCTGACACAGAGAACTCGAGTACCCACTTTGCCTACTGGCATCGAATTGGAAGCCAAAGGACAAGGTTGTGCTCTGGTACAGGTACGTATAATTTCACAAAATTAACTCGAATTTTAATTAAATATCTCGCCAAAAAGAGGGGGAAAACTGATTTTCGTGCCGAATCCTTTACGTAACAATAAATCCTTATTGATTTTTCAAATATTTGTTTTCATATAAAAAAGTGATTAACAATTTTTTTTATTTTAACTTTAACTTTCAAATTATATAATTAGCCTGAGATGTAGAAAGTTGCACAGAATGGATCCTTATAAACTGTATAATCTAGGAAAAGAATATGTAAATATAATTAAAATAATATATTTTATTAGGCAACATTCATACAGGTTCTTCTTACGTTATGTTACAATCAAAAATGAGCCATAAACAACGCCTTCTTTGATTGGCTTGAAGTAACACAAGACACTCTATCTAAACGCAGCTTTAATAATAATCCTAATATTGAAATCACAAAAAAGTTATCGAAAAAAGTAAAATTACAATAAGCTTTTTATTTAATAATTGAAAGAAATAGTTAGAAATTAATCCCAGGTATTTCTTTTATTCGAAGCATTTTATCAATCGATGAAATATGCAAATACGCCTAACGCTGTTTTAGTTATTCTAGTATATTAATTCATATTTTCTTTTAATAGATTGTGCATCGCTATAACGTTCCAAACACAGAAGAAAGCGAAAATTTCGTTTTGTCTATACAAGCTCAAAGAAAACAGGAATTCTGTAACACAGCTTCCATCAACATCTGTGCCAGGTTAGTATGGCGTAGAACATGTAATTTTTTATTTTAAGAATTACTCACTTAAAAGTAATCATATCACAGAATTACGAATTTATACATCATATATTTCACGAAAATTAAGTATTTATATACAACATTCTAACAACCGAATTAAAATCATAATTAATATTAACTCCTACAGCTTAAGCAAGGCACAGAATGAATCGAATATGGTTGTCTTGGAAATTAAAATGATTTCGGGATTCGAAGTTTATGCACCATCAGTTCAAGAAGTAAGTATATTAAAGAATTTATCAATAATATCAACAGTTTGATGTACAGTACAGTTTTACTTACGTATAAATATATCTTAACAGCTACTGGGTAGATCCGAACTTGAAATCAGGAGGTACGAAATTAAGGATAATCAACTCAATCTATACTTTGTTCAGGTAATAATTTATAGTTTTGTCTTTTAAAATAATGTCGGAATTGTGTTTAATATTAAATAATTTATTTATATATTCAGTTGAGAGAACAAAATAAATGCTTTTCTTTCGACGTCGATGAGAAAATAGTCATTGAAAACAGACAACCTGCCATTGCTAAGTTATACGATTACTACAATCAAGGTAAATTTAAGTGATTTTTTTCTTATTAAATATTTAAATTGCCTTAAATTTTAGCTATTAAACTGTAACCTTTATAACTTTTGTATCAGATAATTTCTGAGAATATGTTTATTAAATATAGGGTCTTTTATATATAACATAAATAAGAGCTTGCAATGGAAACAAAATGGAAATTTTAATTTTTTATATTTAAAAATCTATTTAATTATTAGACTAATAATAACTGAAAAATTAAAATATAATTTTATATATTTGCAGAAGACTCAGCATCTGCTTCTTACGCCATAAACAACGAATGCAGGATATCTGCATAATTCCATCGAAATCGATTTTATAAATAGCATATAAACTTTAGAAACCATTTAAAATAGCTTCTTAACGTCTTTAATACGTGTGCCATTTAATTTTCATATTTTGCATTTTAAATCAATAAATTTATCTACCATTCAATGTATGTTACTTTTTTGTTATTTGTCAACAGAAAAAAAGGTTTACATTATAACACTACAGCTTAGAAAATATACGTTGGAAATTGATTCAGGAGTCTTATGATAAGGCCAGATTTTGAGCCAATACGGGATCAAAATTTGTTAGGGACCCAATTATCTTTTACAAATGATACTTCACAGTATTATTCTCCATTACAAAGTCTCTTGCCTAAGTAGTGTGACATCAATAATAAAAAAATATAAACATAACATTTAAGAATCATATTTTAGCAGCAACTTAAACATTCTCTATGGATTATTTTAATGGATTGGATTGAATTGACGGAAAGCAAAATATCACGTGGTCAATCTGACAAGAAGGTGTCTCTTGGGAGACTTTCTACGGGGAAACTGAACCAATTTAGGTGTTATACATGTGAATATAACGCGAAAATTCCACATGGCAAGCCAGTTTCATGAGGTGCGAAACCACGACCAACTACCATCACTTAATTGTTATATCCATTCGGTCACTGGTGAGTCGTTTAAGTTCTAAACTACTTAGAGTAAATGTATTAGCATAGAATGAAGTTTTGATGTTAATAATTAATCTAGTTTCAAACAACATGTAGTAAAATTCTACAACAACAAACATTATGGAAATAATACAAACTTAAAAATGCTTATATTTTTTGTTGTAAATTATTTTATTAATGAAGATCGTATCAAAATTTAAAAATTTCGTACGCCTGTTAAGAAGTTTCCATCTTCTTAAAACTTACAACTTATTTATCAATAACTTATATCAAATATTAAAATCGTTTAGTATTTGAAAGAAAATTTGAATAAAATTGTTGTAATGTGAGAATTAAATTATTGTTATTTAAAAATAAACAAGGGATAAATTTTAATAACTGAAAATTATTAAAGTGTCTTAAGAAATCTCTACGCAAACATTAGTTATACAAATCTTCATCAGCTATTTGTGATGGATAAGATCACGGCTGGACTTGTTGTGTTCCTAAGCTATCACATATAACAGGCCCTTCCTCTTTACCAAATAATGATACACATAAAAGAAATACAGCAACGAGTTGCGTAACGTTCCCGACAAAAAGTTAAAATTGTGTGTGGCGCCACCTCTTATGAGATTTTATTTAAACTTTTTACATTATTAATTATTATAAAATTCGTATTCGTCTTTACCCTCAAAAAGCTTGAAGGTAAAGACGAATTTTATTTTAAAAAAAATTGTAAATGCAAATAAGTAATAAAATCATTAAGTATGTCCACGTTCGAAATATGACATATGATCCTCCTCTATATCCTCACCCTCTCGACTTTTAATCACAAAAATTTAATAGCATCAAGCCCCCTAATAAAAAAACCTCACTGCAAAATTTCAGAAATTTTCGACAAAAGGAACAGAAGTTGTTAAGCTTCAAACTGGGCGAACGAAATCGTACTTCCTACACAACTAACATCCATATAAATGGAAAAAAAAACAATTTTTGCATTTCTCGACGTTTCAAGGTTCCCAGAGTCCAAAATGTAAAAATCTTGGGACCATTTTTTAACCGATCGTCATACTTTCCTTCCGTTATATATAACAGATGGAAAATTAAAAATGTGAGGCCTCAAGCTATGGACTCATAAGAAGAGAATATTTAGTTTAGGCCTATGTGCCAATTTGGCCCTGCTTATGATACTCATATAGGCATGGAGAAACATATTAACTATATTTATTCGCATGTTCTTACAAAAGCATGGTGTTATTCGCATATACCTTGAGCTGTGCGTTTACGTATTTCATGTCCTTTTTCCGATTTTTCTGTACCACATCTTAAAATGCGTTCAGGAATGCTGAAAAATATTAATTTAGACAAAAAAGAGTAACGACGAACTTGACTTTATGCAAAGTTAAGAAGCAAAATTAATCACGTGCAACGTCTATATTTCATACAGATTGTTGCAGAAGAAACCAACTTGTTATACTGACCGTGTCATTCAATCATTTATGAAGATCTTGGCTTAAAAAGAAGAGCAAGCAAGTTTGTTCTTCTGATATTGACTCAGGAGCAGAAACAAGAACGTCAAAGGGTCTGCCAACATGTGTTTTTAATGGTGATAACGACAAATTATGGGCAGGTAAATTGATAATAGGCTACGAGAATTGGGTCGTTGGGTACGATCCGAAAAAAAACTAATCAGTTAATGGTTGGCAGTCACCGACCCAAAACCGAAAAGCCAGATTGACGAAGTCCAAGTTAAAGGTCCTACCTTTGAAAATAAAAGTCTAGGCTGTCATGAATTCATGCCAGAAGTAAACAATCAACCAGAAAATGCGGAAACGCATCTGTCCATTTTGTAAGTTGGGGAGGCTGCAAGGAAAAAAAATAATAAAAATTGGTGCACTCAGAATTGGTTTCTCCATTACGAAGATGCTCGACTCTGTAGAGATCATTCAGTTATTTTTTTTTATTATTAAAAAATAACAATCCCACACTTCCTCTTCCATTCTATTGTCCAGACTTAGCTCAGAATGATTTTTCCTTTTACTAAAATTACAGATGACTCTAATCAAGCAAAAATTGATTGAAGTTTTAAGAAGCCTTTGAAAGAATGATTTTGCTGCGAGTTTTCAGAACCGGAGAAAGTGGAGGCATTTTTAGATACAGAGGATCCTTTTTAGTAAACTATCAAAATAAAATTGTGTCACAGTCTGGAAAGTTTTTGATCATACCTTGTACAAAGAAACCTCGTGTATTATTATTTTAAAAACAGATATTTTTAAAACGATAACTTCTTAGTCATGTTCTCTGATATAAATAAATCTGTGCCAAATAATCCCCAAAGCTTGGTTTTCCCTAATATAATCCCTGCTAAGGAAGTTTCTCTGCAATACTTTCTACACGCATTGTAAAGCCAACGCGATCGTCACTCGCACTTACACGTTTATCAAGTTTCATACACGACTTTAATGATATGAATTAGTAATTTAATCCTAAACGTAATGAAAAATATGCATACCGTTTAAACTTGCCCACAACTTAGGTATAACCTTTTCATTTTGTATGTGAAAACTCGATCCTAGCACCACGTTAAATGTTGCGAATTCTTAATTTTGCAAATAAGAATCAAGAGAATTACTTCATGTTTAATTTTATTATACATAAAACACTCACACCCAGCAGAGTTTTAGCATACCTTGTGCGTTTATTTATGCAAACAAACAATTTATAAAGCAACGAAGAGTGCAGATGCTAACAAAATGCGATTGTTTTTACCAAAAATGGCCGGCGTATCCCAAATGTGCACCGTAGTATGGGGCTCCGTAATGAGCTAATGGTAAAGCAGCGTGGTGAAGAAGACCTGGAGCGATGGCACCTTTGTTGACTGCTGTTGCAGCTGGGTCTTTGGATGGATCGACACCTGGTTCGTTGGTGTTGATGGTGGCACGGAAACCGGCAGCATCGGCTACGTAGTTGACAACTCGTCTACGTCCATCGGCATCAGTCAAGCCGTATGAACCAACTTTGTTGCCAGCGATGTCTCCAGATTCCCTACGGAAGGTGCCTCCTGTGGCGTGGCCTTCGTTGTACCCGAAATTGTAGTTGCCAACGGGCTGTCGAAAGAGAAAAAAAAATTCCATTTATTTAAAATTCCGTTTAGAAACTACACGCAAAACGTCAGAAAATAAAGAACTACTTACATCCTGATTACGGAATTGGGTGCTGGCACCGGTACCAAAGTGGTACAGGGGAATAGCCTGAGTGGCTGCAAAGAGGGCGACGAGGATCAGGTACTAAAAGAGTAGGTAAAATTCATTTTACGTTCGAAGTATTTCGATATATAACCTATGGTTCTTACTTACCTTCATGGTTAGCTGTGGATGAATCGTCGATGATGTTCTGCTGAGATTTCTCGAGAGTTTATATACTACATCTTATTGGATCACGTGACGAAGGAAGAGGAGGAATTTTAATCGTCCTCCGATTTCTCTGCCTTTTAGACCTTGAATCACAGCGAGTAGAAGTTCACCTTCTATCTGAACTAGGTCAGATAACTTCATAATAGGCACTTCTTTCGAGATAAATAATTGTTAACGTTGGGTGGAATATTTACTATTATGGTTATTTTATATTATTTTATTATTATTATTATATAATAAAATTTTTGATACGTCTATTGTATTAACTTATTTTTTAAAGTTTTGTTTCTGTAAACACCTTCGAAGAGGGACATTTTGATACGGAACTTAATCGGACGAATCTTCAAAATCGCAGTTTTGTAAGAAAGTTACGATTTTTAGACACGGAATTCAAATTTTATATAAAAAATAAATTTTGTACAAAATTTATTTTTTACATAAATTAATTCAAATTATCTATCACATTCGCACATTAAAATTAACAATTATATGTGAAGATTTATTAGAATCGAAGCGAGAAAGATCGAAATGGGAAAAAATGGGTTGGATTCTTTTATAAAATATCGATTATTCTGACCAAATTATAAAGGGTGTGGATTCATTTTCTACCATGGACCAAACACACGTTTCTTCTCTAGGCGTTGCTCTCTTCCTTTAAGTGGATACGTAATGAATACCCTAGGAGTTTACACTTTGGGTGTTATGTACAGTTAAACAAACCTCCGGACAACGGCCACTGACGAAAACATAGAAACTGGCCTTTATTTGAAGGTTATTCCTTATGCATTTTTATTTTTTAAAAAAAAAGCAGTTCCTGAAAAAATTTTATTTAGGAATTATTGAAATTATAATACATTCTTGTAATTTTTATAAATTTTATTAATATGACTTAAGTTATTCACGAACAATTGATTTTCCACATTCTATTTTGTTCGATTGCTCATGGCTTGGAATGCTAAATTATTTAACTTTCGAGTCGTCGAAGCATTGTTCTTCGATTACTCACGAATTAAAAATTGTAAAATATTATGCAAATTCCTTTAAAACTCCGCTTCCTTAATTCTAATCGGAGAAATTCTTAACCTTGTAAATTACAATGCGAGCTTCCTCGAAGGACAAAGCGGTTTGGAATTGGATCAAGAACAACAAAAGAAATGGCCAAACTTCTATCATTGGCCGATCAATAGAAATATTGGGAAGTGCACGAAGGGTGGAGATCGTGACACCCGGTACTCTCCCCATCTCATGAGGGATGAACTCATGACAAGGTCGACTGGACGGGGTGGATCCAATGCTATCTTTTGCGGTGAATCGGACCACGGGGTGGAGCCATACTACTACGTCAGTTGGGAAAAGAGTATTTAAGGGTGAGGAAGGAAGAGAGTAAGCACCTTGCTTCGGTAACTTCCTCTCTTCTATCAACAATCATGAAGGTGAGTTAGAAAGGAAGCTAATTAACCGATATTTAATATTGAAAACGAAAATTAACTTTTATATCTTTCTAGGTTTTCATTTTACTCTGTGTCGTAGCAGCCGCTTATGGCCAACTGCACCTTGTACACCCCAATGGTGCTAGCAGCAACTTCCGTTCTCAGGACGTAAGTCGAATTTTCTACAATAAAATGCACTCGTCCGGGAAAAAGTTTTTTAAAAACCCTTTTATCATTACAGCTTGTAGGCAACTATAATTTCGGCTACAATGAAGGACACCCCACTGGTGGAACCTTCCGTAGAGAATCCGGAGATATTGCAGGCAACAAAGTTGGCTCCTACGGTCTCTCCGACGCCGATGGTCGTAGACGTGTTGTCAACTACGTAGCCGATGCTGCCGGTTTCCGTGCTACCATCAATACCAACGAACCAGGTGTCGATCCATCCAAAGATCCAGCTGCAACAGCAGTCAACAAAGGTGCCATCGCTCCAGGTCTTCTCCACCACGCTGCTCTTCCATACGCCCACGGTTTGTATGGCGCGTACGGTCATCACGGTTTGTACGGCGCGTACGGTCATCACGGTTTGTACTTCTAGAAAGGCCATAGAAATCTGCACGACTCCCTCTCTACTCTTGCTTTGCTTAATGTAAATCTCTTTGGTGTCCCGAGATCTTTGCTGTCGATACGCTTTGGGCTATTTGTATACTTTCTTTTGTAAGATTGTTGATGGATAATAAAACAAAATTATTATTTGTTAATTTGATCTCAGACTGAATTCATATAAATATTCGAAGGCCGCTGATAAATTTTTTTTACTAAAAAACATGGAAGCGCAAAGTAGTAGCCTAGTCATTCCTGTTGAAAACGAGCGAGGAATGTAAATTACAGAAAGAATCAACGCCCAGAAACCAATTAATCTAACTCAAGGGTAATCATTTATGGATCTCGTCTATAAATTGTCTCTACCTGTCACGATAGAGACCTTCTAAATTCAATCACCCGTACATATAATTTATCAAGAAATTCAACTTGATATTCCAAGATACTGCTGCATGTTATAATAATAAAATTTTATATTAAACTCGAAAAAAGTTAATATTTCGTGGGTTCGCACCTCACCAACGGGCCTGTGGAGTTTTCTAATCTTTCTTTACGTATGTAACACTTAAATACGGGCCAGTTTTCCATAAAAAGTTTTCCTGGAGTCACCCTCTAGGCAAAATTACCCACGTGTTACGTAGCTATATACTAACAAACTTTAAAAAGTACCTAACAAAATTTTCCACGGGCAATGTTTTTCCTTATTGATGTTTCCAGTGTTAATTATTGTTGACTTCCTTATTGTATTAAAATAAAAATGGCTCTTTGCCATGTGCATTGATAAAAAGATTGTGAAAGCACGAGGAAGAAGAAAGGTCCTTGAACATCGAAGCAGACACAAGAGGAAGAGGGTGCGGCCGATGACTCGACTATAGGCAAGGACGACCTTGAATGACCTAAAAAAATGACCAGCCAAATAACTGGTATAGGCGTTGCGATATTATTGTTGATCAAACAATATGTTACGTCGAATTCTATTGCTTTTTACGTATTTTCCACTGAATTAAAACGTTTCTGGTACGCAAATAATTACATTTTTACAATTTTAATGATGATTTATGTTTATATAAACGCTTTCGCAACTCTTACATTCACTTAAATATTAAATTTTTCCATTATCAAATGGAATATTCTCTTATTCGTTTTAAATCTTCAATTAAATATTCATCAATTTTTACGGTAGCTTCTAAATGATCCACTGAAATTAAATTATCGATTAAATTAAACTTATGCAATCAAATTTAGCTTATATTAAAAATCTGGTTTAATAAAAATGTTTTCACGTAACGTAAACAATTAATATGCAAATTATGTGCAAGGAAATTTGCATATATGCAAATTACGTTGTTTCTATTGTAAAATGGTAGGCAACGATAAAGGGAAGAGCGGAGGGAGGGGAATGACGGAATAAGGTAAGGAAGAGAATTATGGAATAAGGTTAGGCGGGGAATCATGAGATAAGAATGTTGCATTCAACACGAGGACAATATGCCAAGGAAGAGTGCCTTCCGATAAGACTTTCTATGAGAAACTGGTCTTATTTAGGTGCTAGACACATGAAAAAGCAAAAAAGTCCACGTGGCTAGCATGTTGGTCAGGTACGAACCCGCGACTAACTACAGTATTCAGTGGTTTTATCCACTGGGCCACTAGTAGGCCGAAGTGGAGCGTAATCATGCGTCAAAGTTTATAGAAAAAACTGATTCAGAGCCATTTCTTTTTAAGAAAATCCCAAATAAAATCTAACAGATTTTATTCAGTTAAATTCGTTGTATGTTTAGAACAGGATCAATTGGAAGGAAAAATAACGACAAAGAAGCGTCTTACGAGGTGTATTTGGTACTTTGTATTATTAAAAAAATAAAATATAAATAAAACTTAAATTATATGATATGTTTTATAACCAATTAATGTAACAATTAAAAATCAAGGAAAATTAATAAATAATAATTAATTTAACAATAAAAATTCAGGACAAAAATATATTTTTTAAATATACATAAATTTGAAGACGAAAACAATAATTTGAAGTCTTAGAACGTTCTGTAACACAGGAAAATGATTTATGGCGGGGAATTACAGTGTATATTAGGAGGGGAAGAACCTGTATAGAAAGGTCAACACTATCTGACTATCAGAGTAATGTAAGTATTCCCTATAGGTTCTTCCCGCCTACTTACATATACTGTATAATTCACGGCTGTTATGCATAACAGAGGGAAAGTATGGCGATCGATCAAAAATTGACCCCCGAAGTTTTTTCATTTTTGGACTCAGAGGACCTTGAAACGTTGAGAAATGAGAAAAAATTTCGGGTTTTTTTTTTCTGTATGTATGAATGTTAGTGTATGTTGAACGATTTTGTTCACTCTCTTTGAAGCTTAATAACTCCTGTGCTTTTTGTCGAAAATTTCTGAAATTTCGCAGGGAGGTTCGTGTCTTAGGAACATTGATGCTATTAAATTTTGATGATTAAAGGTTGAGGGGTGGGAGATAATGAGGGTCGTGTGTAACTCCAGTAGGGTCGGACTTAATAACAGTTTTACTCGTTATTAGCATTTACAATTTTGTTTTATAAAACCATCCCTACCCTCAAAATTAAACTTTTTGCCATTTTATAATAGTTAAAAATATGAAACGTTTTTTTTAAATAAAATAGCATAACAGATGGCCCCACACGGGCAATTTAAAATGTTGCCGGGAAAGTTAAGCAACTCGTTGCTGGATTTTTGCGTTTTGCAGTTTTATTATTATAAATACTCGGGCCAATAACTGCATAGTTTAGTTACTAAGGCACCCTTTCCCAATCCTTACCTCATCAATTCCCCACTTCCGTACTTAAATAGTTTCTCTATTATTCATGTCCTTCATTTTAAAACACTCTCTTATAAAATTAATCATAATATTCCTTAAAGAACCATACAGTCCTAGAAATATTTAATCATGTATACATGGATGCATTATCACTATGCATCAATGTATATTGTCTATAATGGTTAATAAATGGTTTACACTACAGTTACAAAATACAAGAAGACCACGATGCATGTCACGAGAAGGGGTGAAAGTTACCTCAGAGCCAAATCATGTTAATGGAGATAGGATGAAAGCGAAGTAGAGGAAGACCAAGATGAAGTGGCTGGATATAAATGGAAGTAAAGGTAAAGGGGTTGAGAAAAGAAGGAAAAATATCTGGCGAAAATCGGATACAATGGAGGAAACTCGTCAAAAATCATACCATGCAAAACTGTGTTATATACAAAACATAGCGTATTATTGTATTACTGTACCGTATATTGTATATTAATAAATTGAATAAATGAGCTGATTTATCATTTTCAGACAAATATTATCTTTATAATCTAATTTTTCTATATTTTACAAAGTATACAACTTTCTACCTCTTTCGTAGTAATGGCCTCCATTATTATTCTCGTATTATTTATAAATATAACGCAAACGATTTTTATTCCATGTTTTAGTGATTAAATAAATATTAATTTTAATAATTAATAATTTTTTTTTGCAAAATGATCGAGTAAATCTCCACGCTTACCTCATTCTTTATGATTTTTTGACGAACAGAAAAAAGATGGAGGCCGATAAGAGATGATTCCATCGACATTCTCAGTAAATAATTCCGTAAAACACATACAAAAATATAAACAAATCACGTGTAAAATTAAATAATATTTGTGAAAATATACTAGAAATGTTTCATCTTCTTTGCTTGATGGCTACAAAGTTAAAGGTCTTGTAAATGTGTTATATGCAAAGAAGTTTGCGCAAAATAACAACATAAAATAAACAGTAGAAAGTTCGCTAATCCGGTTTCTGATTACTCGGTCCGGTAATTGATTAATGTCCGGTAATCCGGCATCCTCTGAAACAGTAGCCGATAATCCAAAATTGTCGGTTATATGCTAGTATACAATAATGTGCATGTATAGCTTTTATATACAGTAGACCTATATCTGGATAGAAAATAAATACTGTATTATGTGCACACGAATCATTAAGCATGTCGAGTTTGTTCAATGACGTGTACATTAACGTTTTCGCAGGCTTTTTCGTCAATCTTAACAACAGTATAGTTATGTACTGAATTGTCTTCAAGTAGATTAAAGAGCGTGCGTGTACACACCGGAAGCGTACAGCAACGTGCTCTGGTACAAAACGTACAGCAACGTAAACATTGCTGTACGTTTTGTACAAGCGCACCTTACTGTACTGTAATACATGCACTTTTGAATTGGATCAGGTGTTAACGAGCCAAAATTATTCATTTAAGCTTCAAACAAAGATAAAAAATCACTATTTTATACACTAATTTCTTATATTTTACCTTATAAAATAAAAAAATTAGAGTCTAATAGCGGGTATAGAAGCAGAACTTTTTCGTCACACAACACCTAGCAATGTTTATCGAAGAGAAATCCTCAAAAGCGAAGGAAAAATAAGCTTCTAACCGTAAATTTCTCTCTTAATCATCTTTGTTTGGATGCTGCCAAAGATTTACTTCTCGAGAGAAGAATGAAATTTAACTTTTTAACGTTAATCATAATCATTATCTGTTATATAAAAATAGAATAATTAGGTAAAAATTACGTATTAAAATTAACATTCGAAATCTGATATGAAGCCATTTTGGTTCTGAGAAACAGAATTTGTGCATGTATAAAGTACCTATCGCATTATGAGATATTATAAATAATGAGTAATTGAATTTAACGCCATCAAAGGGATAAATTATGAATCAGAAATCCACGAAAAGTTTAATCCATTAAATAATATACAGTGGAGTTTTTCTGGTTATCTTCACGTGCTTAACACCTAAATAGGTAGACCATTTTCCACAGAAAATCCACCGTTAAGGCAGATCGCCCGTGCAATAAGGTGCAAGTTAAAAATCTTTTTAACTTGATAAATATTGTTCTTTAAAATGTTATAAAAGAAAAAATTCATAGTTTTTTAAATGTAAAATAATTTAATTTAAAAAAAATTATATAAAATTAATTTACTTACATCGTACGCCTGTAAATGTAGTTTCACTGTCGATCTTGCAACTTTTCGGGACGAGCTCTTGTCATTAAAATCGTCTTAGATTGATCTGAAATTCACGTTTTATAATTAATTAATGTAGAAAAAGTATTTAATTTAGTCGTTTCTTTAAATTAAACTTTTATTTTGTATTCGAAAGTAATCAAAAGTTACTTCGATCTCTATCCTTTCTCTCAATTTATTAGGAATTAGCCTACGTTGCATAGAATATTAAATTTTTAATTTTTTAATATTATTCATAACTTTTCATAATTATTTTCTTTATAGATCCTATGTTAACTCTAAAATAGTAAGTTGTAAATGGTATAAATTTTGTAACAAGAAGATGAGTAAATTTTAAAGAATATCAAATTTAAAACACAATATTTAAGTGTAATATTAAATACGATATTTAAAAATTTGTTTATAAAATTCTTAAATGGGTAATAGGATCCGAGACTGGGCTTGTTGTGGCCCTCAAACATAACAAACTTTCCTACTCCATAAAATAATGATACGTGTAAAATGTGAAGCCCTTAACTATAGATTCATAACGAGACCCTAAGCTGCGGCTTATTTAGCTTATGTGAAGATACGGCCTATTTCTGAACATAAATAAGTAAATTTCACTGTAATTTTCTTCAGAGCCACTCACTCTTTAGGATTCAGTGAACTCATCGGATCCTAAAGACGTGAGTATCTCTCATTGTTTACTTAAATAACACTTTTAATACTTGGATAACACAGCAATAAGGATGAAAGATTAGGCTCTAGTCGAAAATAAATATTAATAATGTGTTACACATTACCAAAACCAGATAGAGAAGGGCTCCAGGAGAGTACTTGGACTCGGAGGGGGGCCTCAAAATGAGTCTTATCTAAAAAAGACCTTCTAAAGCTCCAAAACAGAATTTCACAGAGTCATTTTGATAAGCTATTTTAAATTATTTCAGCGCTAAAATAGAAGAATTTAAACTATTGAAGAGTTGGAAGCAGCAACCTTACCTCTTTCTTTCATATGAAAGAATAATCTGATGCAATTCCTTCCTCTCAAACTGTGTATATCAAAAGGGAACGTTATATACGTTCCCTTTTGATATATAGTTTGAGTGGAAGGAATTGCATCAGATTCGTGTTTTAAATTAATTAACATGCGCGATGAGCTGTCCTTCGATATCAGTAAAGGCCATAGATTCAATATAATGTTAATGAATTTATTTTTAGAAATCCTGTTTATTTTTTAACAGAATATTTTTAACTTAGTTGTTGAAGATACGTTGGCGTGAATAGGAAATGAGATTTTTAATAAAGTTTCTTTGATCTTTTTAAAATTTACCGAAAATTATTAGAGGTAAAACGCAATTTTAACGTTATTAAAGTATCTTTATCAAGCATTAATGAAGATAAACAATTGCTATAAGTATTTAGGATTATTTTTAAACTTTTATGCATAGAAGACACGTTTACCTCCATACAAATCTATGGTGCCTTCTTCCTAACATTCGGTTACGAGATAAATTGACAATAGTGAGAAAATTTTCTTAAACAAGTTGCTTAAAAGTTATTTTAACAATAAATTATTTAGAATTAATCATCGAAAATATCACGCGCTAGTATCGTGATTTTGACTTCGAGAGGTCAAAAACTGCCCTCAGAGATGGGGGTACCAAGGGCGTCAACCGCATTTCGAATGTATTTCGAGGTCATCTAGGTATGGAAGATGAGGAAGATGGAAAACGAAGATGAAAATATTGCATCAGCCACTTCAAACTGACCTAATTTTCTTCCTCTCCAACAGTATAAAAGCTGAATCTTTTCCGACACGGAGCATCTTGCAACGTTCATCGATCGAAACAAGTCAAACCCTGAAAAATGAAGGTAAGTGTATACTTTGTAAATATAAATAAATAATTAAGAAAAGCTTCTAAAAATGCTTTATTTTTTTCTGAAGCACCTCTTGTTGTTCGCTCTTGTGGCTGCAGCCAGAGCTTTGCCACTTTTACCGGCATCAATTATTTCAACCGGTACCAGCATCCAGCAGCGAGTGCAGGACGTAAGTTCTTCAATTACAAATTCTTCTTCCAAATAACGTAGATTGTAATTGGCCCTTTCCTTCATTAGCCTGTAGGAAATTACCAATTCGGATACACGGAAGGCCACGCTACCGGCGGCACTTTCCGTAGAGAAGTAGGAGACATCGCAGGCAATAAAGTTGGCTCCTATGGACTCACCGACGCCGACGGACGTAGAAGAGTAGTCAGCTACGTAGCCGATGCCGCCGGTTTCCGTGCTAAGGTAGACACCAACGAACCAGGTGTCGATCCATCCAAAGACCCAGCTGCTGTAGCCGTCAACAAGGGAGCCATCGGTGCACCCATCCTTGCTGCACCCTTAGCCGCTGCTCCATTGGCTCCCGCTCTTGCAGCACCTCTCGCTTCTTCTGCACTAGTTGCAGGAAGTCCCCTCTCTTACAGCATTTCTATCCCATACATGGGTTTGGCCAGTCCTTTAATCATCTAAGTTTCTTTACTTTTGCAAGTTGGTTAAGGTTCTTCTTTCTGTATGTTGCCTCGTTTCCTGTTTCTCCGGTGTTTCTTCCAACAAATCTAGAAATGCTTGTGAAATTTTCAATGCAATTGTAACTCAGGAATTCATGTAGAAAATTAATAGAGAAAATAAAATATATATATAGTATATATGTAATTAATTTTGTCTGAAATATGAGAATTACATTAAAATCACATGACTTCCGGTCCAGACAAAGTTCTTATATAGGGACACCGAAGCTTTCCATGTTTGAAAGCTTAGGTGCCGATAACAAATCTCTAAAACCCTATATAACCGCGATATAACGAACTTATGCAGCGTCACTTCGTAAATTGCTTATGAATACTTATGAACAGATTTTCCCTTAAAATATTAAATGCAATTTAATATTTTAAGGGAATATCTGATGGAGTCTATGCAATATTTCGAGAACCAAACTCTCGAAATATTGCATAGACTCCATCAAAACACAGCTGTTGTTTGAGCTACTTCGGTTAAGCGTTACGCTCGATTTAGTGCCAATTTCAGAGATGAACAAATGGTGGCACTTAAACTAGATTTGACTGCAATTATTAATATAAATGATACAAAATACTGGAATGGTTGTAGTTAAAGTACCCCTATTTAAAGCTATTTACAGAAATTTGGCATTCAAATGTAACCAGATCTGGTATGGTGACATTTCAGGACATGCCAAAGACATTTCCATAAAAAAAATTAATACCAAAACGCTCCACTTTTGAATTTTTGGCGCTTCCAAAAGCGCCAAAAATTCGCGAACTTTAATGTTTATATCTGTATTTCTAACTCTAACTTCCTGTCTGGAGCGGAAGTCATTAATTGTTTAGTTGTGGAAAGACTTAAAAAGTGCAGTTTATCGAGGATATGTTGCAAATTTAGCAGTTTTAAAAAAAACTTTATGACACTGCATATGAGAAATATCACAGAGGATCAAATAACCCCCTCCCTCCCATCCAGTGTGGATGTCATTTAAGGACAGCCTCTATATAGACGTACAGTACCTGTGTAAGATGAATATTGTTTAATTGATAAATATAAATATATCAGTAAACTATGAATCAAAAATTTGTTGAAGAATTGAAATATTTTATTAACACATTTCATATAATTAACTACTGATAAATTACATACAGAATCATATCTTATACTTCTCTTAATACTCGAAATCTTGAAATTATTGCCAATGACAGTCTGTTTCATGTGAAACGTAATTTGCCATTGGTTTTTCTCTTAGCTGCTTAGTGTCTACAAACACCCAATGTCTATTTTTTATACAAATTCGGTGTCAGAGGAACTTTTAATTAGTTTGCAGATGTGTGAGAAGAAGATCCTCCAAATATCCTCAGATCTTTCATCTGCACAGCTTAAGTTTCTATGGTTATGAATGGACTTCCTGGTGTCGATCCATCCAAAGACCCAACTGTAATAGTCATCAACAAGGTGCACCCCTCTTTGCTGCACTGCTCCATTGGCTCCGGCTCTTGCAACATCTATCGCTTCTTCTGCACTAGTTGCAGGAAGTCCTCTCTCTTACAGTACTTCTATCCCACATCTGGGTTTGGCCAGTCCTAAAGTACATACTACAAAGTTTATTCATAACCATTCGGAGTTAAAGTCTCGAAAACTTAACTCATTATTTTTGTTTGGTACCCACCACTTCTGCTAATCGCTTGTATTTCATTCTTAGATACTAATCGTACTATTATGTATGAACATTGCCTTAGATATTTTCTTTATCGATAATTAAGACTAGCTTCTTATGGATTCTAGTGAAAGAAATGGCTACTGATTGCAAAATAAAAGTAACTTCTAAGCAATTTTCAGAAATAAACAAACATAATTAGCTGAACATAGCACAGCAATGCTTAGAGGTTACCTCACTGGTTAAGGAAATTACCTTTGTTTCTGTTGCATAGAAATACAGAAATAGCAAACAGCAGCATAAGATATTTTATATTCCAATTTCTTATTATTCTTTTACAGGAATAATAAAAAATTGGAAAGGACAAATAACTGAATGAATGGAAAGTTTCAATCAATACAATCAAGCAAATAATATTAGTGTAATATAATCCAGATTATTCGCATTTTTCACCGAATGCTCGCCCTCTGGTGTTTAAAAACAAAACTATTCTATCTGGGTCGTTTGATTCATTCTTGTGTATTATCAGCAGTAAAGATGAAAAGCAATAGAAAAAGCAACGCTTACTGTTGGTTCCAAATTGCAATTTCAAAGCCTTACGAGAGCCTGACATAAGTTTTCGTCTATTCCCACACGAAAAACGGGAAAAGCAGATGATTATTCGGAAATTGATCGGTTACATTTATGAGCTCTGAATTCTGAAAGAGTGGATTAGACTGTTAAGAATTGGCAGTTTCCCGATTGTCCAGCTTTCACAAACAAGTTATGCTGTCAATTTTAAAACATTTTGTTAAAATTTAAAATGCCGGTAATTTTGTGTAGGACATAGGGTCGGATTTAAGCATTTCGAAGCCCTAAGCTGAATTCTGTAAGGCCCCTTACCAACCCTTCACGATTTTAGAAGTCAATCATAAAAAGAAAAGAATTAAACCAGACTATGACTTTGATTTAATATGGATATTGGAAGAAAAACACATGAGGTTTTACTAGTCTTCTGTTTTATAACTAAGTTTAATTAAATTTTTATACCCATTCCATTAAAAAACTTTTTTTTTTTTAAATTGGTTTTATAAATTTTTTAAAAAAGATCTTATGTTAATTCTTAGAAAAAAATTAATGAAATACTACACAAAATAAACAGTGAAGTATGTTTTGTTGGTTTGTAAAAAAATGCTTATTACAAAATCTGACTTCAATTTTCTTTTTTGTACAAATGTTTGAGGTCCCTTGAAAGTCGAGACTTTTTACTTGTAAACCCGACCCTGATGGGACAATGTCAAAGCTGATGTTTTTAACACAAAGGGCACAAATATGTATAGAACGATCTCACTCATTTGTTTCGATACCACATAATGACGTGTCCCGCTAACAATAATTGTTCTCTTTCTATAAAATTTCTCGATAAACAGCTACAGGCAGCATATATCATTATATCGGACAGTAATATATGATTAATTTTACATTACTAGTTACAAGCAACCCAGATAAAGTAGCCATTTTGTAAAAATGCAGCGCCCTCTATAGTTCATGAAAAACGCGAATAGAATATTTTAAATGAAAAATTAAAATTACTATATGAGAAAAATCTAAATAACTTTAAATATATATGAGGTTAATATGTAATACAAAGAGGATTGGGATAAGATGAAGCAAGGAAGAGATGAGAAATTCCTATTTTAATAACTGGAAACGGTATAACAGCGAAATAGACATTTCTATTTAATTAAAATTAATTTGACAAAATTTTAAAAATAATAGAAACGTTGTGTATTTAAGAACATGGCAATTCAAAGAGATTTCTGGAATTTGGCATTCTAATACAAGAGACTCGTAAGTTAATTAAGGATCTCTTGAATAATTTTTGTCTTATATTAGTAGCGTGTTATAACTTCATGGAGCCCAGGCAAATCTGAATTAGGGAGCCCCCATGTACTGTACAATGTTGACTTTGGACATTTTTCGTCGGGGAAAAATTTTTTAGGGAATGTTTTCTTACAAAAGAGTGGTTTGAGGCCCCCTGTTGATGGGAAATTTCCTTTTGCCCATAGGATAACGCGTTTAAGTCTTGTTTAAGAAGCGATTTCAAAACGGAAAAAGCTTAATGAATATATGTTCAATAAAGTCAAACAACATTAAACTTTTAGTAAATAGAATTCTAGTGTAGAGAGACACTACTGCGCATTATAAAATAATTTTACTAATTCTTTTTATAAGTTTATAATTAAAAAGGCTGTGACAATCGTAATGTTTAGAAAATGACAATGTTAAGAATTCAAAGTTTATAGAGACATTTAAAAAGAACACACTCCCAATTCCTTTATAACCTTTGGAAAATAGGAGCATTTTTTGTAGTCCAAAAATGCCTTTAAAAATTAAAAATAGAACAAGATGATCAAGATAACCGAGAGACTAGCGTGAAGGACATACTACAAAACGTGTTCTTCATAAAGAAAAAGTTGAACTTTGAAATGAAGCCGAATAGAAACTGTAGAACCAAAAAGTGTGCCCGGTACGTTAGAATCAGATTTACTACCGCTCGCTTTACAACCCCCAACTTTTAAGTTGTGATACAGGGGTATACTTTAATTTATATTTACTCTTTAGTATACAAATTATCGCTATATACCGTTGCAGATATTTTCTCATAAATTAAAAATTTACATAACTTTATGATAACATTATATTAAATGGTAGAGTTTGCTTAGCGACGGCTAAGCAAACCGTCGTAAATCAAACTCTAATTTCCATTAGGTTTAATGTCAAATTAGCCGGCCGGGAAGATAAAGAAACCAGTTCAAACCTCTGGAAACCGGGGTGGACTCAGAATTTTTATAGGAGGCCCGTCCCTCACTCACTATGCCGTCTTCTATTGTAAGATTTTTATATCCATTATGGGTTTGACCAAAGATCCTGTTACAAAAGCGGTTCCGTTTCCGGAACACTGTGAGTTCGGTCGCGGGTTCGCGCCTCGCCAGGACGGACTGGCCATGTGGAGTTTTCCGGATTTTCTCCATTTCTGTAACGCCTGAATAGGAGCCAGCTACCCTTAAAAAGACTTCCCGGAAGGCATTCCCCCAAATGTTACGTTGCCGTAACTTAACTAAACAAACAAACCTGTTACAAAAAGAAAAATATTATTAATGCAGCGAGATGAGGCCCCTAAGAGAATACATTTAAAGAGAGTGAGGCCCCAGCCATAACCGTGAGGTCATGTGTTAATGAGTCCCTGCATACAGTACATTCATTATAGGCATAGACACTATGCCTATAATATATTATATATATAATATAATAATAATATATTAAGAATAAAATATATTTTAATTATTTGTTTTAAATGTATTCTAGATGTAATTTTAAAGATCCAAAATTCTAGAAATGATGGATAATTTTATCATCCTCTTCCGCTTGACAACAAGCTTGTTACATTTTGTAGACTAGTAATACAAGTAATTATTTTAATACAGATTTTTTTATATGACCTTGTCAAACTAAAAATAGAAGAATTTTCTATAAGATAAGACATTTTTAGTTGGCGTATTCGATTATTCACTTGAACGCCTTCTAAAAATGACCTTCCTTGAAAAGATCATCTAATCCAAGAGTTTAATCTCATTAAATTTCAGAGAAATTAAAATTTTTAATTCTTATCAATACTGGTACTTTGAAACTAAATAAAATTTGATGATAAAAATTGCAAAGTGCCTGAAAATAAATACAATAATAATTTTTGTTTGAATTACTTCTTATCAATACATTTGAATCTGTGGCCCAAAGCTAAGTTATAATGTATAGTACAAGAGGATCTTCCTCTATACCAAATAATAAATAACACGTGTTAACTGTTTTTGAGGATGGAGCAAGACCCCTTCTAGCGTGAGGCCCTAAGATGTTGCTTGTTTAGCTTACGTGTAAATTCGTCCTTGATTCTTCGGAAGAAAACTTTAATTTCAGGAGTAATTCCAGGTCGATTCTCGTAATATAAATTCCGAATAAAACACTGAAAAATTCTTTTCAAAGCTATTTTTCATGTCATGAGAGCAGAAAACTTGATTTCTGTGGTAAAATATTCATTAAAAGTTTTATTTTTAGCATGTAAAACGTAAAATAAATTTGATTTCGATGAAGTTTGCGACATTTTCTTTTATTATTAAACTTTTACAATATCCAAAATTGTACCTTTATAATGAGAAATAAATTAATGTTTTCCTTAATAAATCTTGTAGTAAAAGCCAAAATTTCATTTGGAATCATTTTATCGTGTGATATTTAAGAAATACATAACAATTTAAGGTATCAACATGAAAAGTCACACCAGGAATCTTGCAATCCGCTCTTCAAATGCTCAAGTACACCTTTGAAAATTCATATGAATATTTCTAGACATATTTCTTTTATTTGTAATAAATTTTAAAATATATTTCTACAGGAATACATTAAATTACAAAAAAATTGCAGTGAATTTACATATGCGAACTATCTGCAAAATCGCAGAGATTTCACATATTAATGGTTTAAAATTATTGTTTTCTTAATTCTCAGCATATATTCGAGGGTTCGAAAATATAAACAAGTTTGATGAAATTTTTAAAAGAATTGCATCATTTGATTTCGATGATCACGTGAAAAATTCATGATGTTGGATTGTGGATGACAAATGGCAATAATCTATCAGGGTCGGAGATCGCAAGGGCGTAACATGCTCCGAACAAATCTCGAGGTCATCGGGAGTTGGAGGATGAGAAAAAGATGGAAAACGAAGATGAAAATATTGCATCAGCCACTTCAAACTGACCTAATTTCTCCACCATCCATGAGTATAAAAGAAGAATATTTTCTGTTTCAAAGCATCTTGCAGACGTTCATCAACTAGAGCAAGTCAAAATCTCAAACATGAAGGTGAGAATTTGTTTAATGAAACAAAAATTAATAATTAAATTTAAGTTATATTAATAATATATTTTTCTCTACAGTACTTCTTGTTGTTCGCTGTTGTGGCTGCAGCCAGAGCTTTGCCATTTTTACCGGCATCAATTATTTCAACCGGCACCAGCATCCAGCAGCGAGTGCAGGACGTAAGTTCTTCAATTACAAATTCTTCTTCCAAATAACGTAGATTGTAATTGGCCCTTTCCTTCATTAGCCTGTAGGAAATTACCAATTCGGATACACGGAAGGCCACGCTACCGGCGGCACTTTCCGTAGAGAAGTAGGAGACATCGCAGGCAACAAAGTTGGCTCCTATGGACTCACCGACGCCGACGGACGTAGAAGGGTAGTCAGCTACGTAGCCGATGCCGCCGGTTTCCGTGCCAAGGTAGACACCAACGAACCTGGTGTCGATCCATCCAAAGATCCAGCTGCTGTAGCCGTCAACAAGGGAGCCATCGGTGCACCCCTCCTTGCTGCACCCTTAGCCGCTGCTCCATTGGCTCCTGCTCTTGCTGCTCCTGCTCTTGCAGCTCCCGGTCTTGCTGCTCCCATCGCTTCTGTAATATATGCAGGAGGAATTCCAGCTTCTTACAGTTATTCTATCCCAAGTTTGTTGTAATCAGCTCCATAAGATAGAACTAAATTCTGTTTCTCGTGTCTTTCCACCTCTCTTGCTCTTAGCTCAAATTTTTATAAAATTTGTTCAACCGAAAGGATGCTTTCTTGTTGGGTGATAAAATGTAAGAAGGAGTGAAAAATAAATTTAATACAATTAAAATTTTGTGATCATTTATTATAAACATTTGCAAATGTCCTCTGTACGTAGACCCATCACAAGCGATGTAACTGAAGACATTGAGCAATTAATTTAATTCTAAAAATTTAATTATTAATAGCGGCTTAATTGAAAATATAATAGTATCCAAATAGAATATAATATTCGTTTAATTAATTATCATTCAATTTAAATACATCGTGTAGCAAGGAACCGAACCACCTCCACATTTTGCAGGACCCAGTACAAAATACAAGTGAGGGGCCTTTTCAAGACGGCGAGGGCCAAACATTAACCAAACGTGCGGCACCTTTACGCACCTCTAAGCGCTCCCACGCTTAGAGGGCTTCATAGGTCCTCTTGTACATATGAATTCCCATGTTATCTATATTTTGAAGACTTATATAGGTATAACCTGTATCAGGTTGTTAATAAGGTCTACTTCATAAAGATATAAACAAGTAACACGTGTATAAAATTAGTGTAAATTGGAGTCAAGTACAACATACTAGAAATAAACAATAGCAGTGACGTCAAGGGAAAAAAAGAGAGAGAAATTTATAACCAGTCAAATGAATGATTGTTTCGCTTAACCAATGGGCATCTATCTAACAAATATTGTTTAATTTAATAACATCAACATTACACGAAAACACTCAGAATTTGTTCGGTTTCTCAAGTAATAAGTTTATAAAAGGTAAATATAAAATTTATATAAATATATTTATTTATAATCATTTAATTTAAGTAATATAAATAAAACGAGACTTACTTTTACATTCCTTGCCCAACTAGTTTCAGCGATGACACTGAGCTCGGTATCATCTTCGTATCATCTTCGTGATGTCACTAGAAATCGACCAATAGTAAGTATGCATATATATTATTTTCAATTATTTAATATAATATATTATGTTAATAAAATCTACTATTAATTTATTATTATTTAAATTCGACAAAATGTATTAATTAGTAATAATTTAGTTATTATGTTAATCTCAGTTTATGTAAATTTTAAAAAGTTCAGTGCCATCTTGTGTTATTAATTAAAGTTACAGAAAAAATTTTTATTAGTTGCGCCATCTTTTGACAATTAAATAATAAAAATATATTTTTATGTATTTTGTAAAATTTTAATTTAATATTTTAATAAGAATAACTTTAATTATAGTAAATGTGTTTTTTTAAATATATTCTAATAAAAATTAATAAATTAGCATCATCAAGTATCATTTAAAGTTATCAAAAGTTATTGTCATTTAAATAATAATAATAATAATGAAGTGATGCATATTTAATAACTAAAAAAATTTTCTAATCGATTATAATCGTTCAATTATAATCGATTAATCTATTAATAAGAATAATTAATCGAAACTTCAGATAGAATAATAATTAAAGATGTCAATGGGAGGAGACATTGACATAGAGTTTTGGCAGCTTCATGTTGTCTTTAAAGGCATCAAACTCGAATATGAATCATTCATTACTATTAATGACAATTGAATAATTTATTAATTAATCGAGTAATCGATTAATCGATTAATTCGAAATTAAGATCGATTGATCAATTGTTTTATTAAACTAATCGATTGACTTAATAATTCGATTAATTAATCGATTAATTATTAATTTAGCCAATCGATTAATTTAGACTTTTCCCATTAATTTTCTAAAGATTATCACACTTATATATAATAAATAAGTAATCAAACTAACAGTTTAATATTTTTTGAGTCAATTTTAATTAATTATATATCGATTAAAATCGATTATTTAAATCAATTTGCTTGATTTCTATTATAATCGAGCACATTGTAAGTCAGTAATTAACTGAAATTTCTCTCTCCCTGTTTACGGGATATATAAAGTTTTATCATAAATAACCGATTTTATCGTGGTTATCGATTATTTAGCTTTGAATTAATTGAATATATAATCGATTTTCTTACGAATATTGATTATTAGCTTATCAAATAATAAAATTGATAATGAAATTATAGAAAAGTAATTAATATAGTTTTGGTGAGTGTGATATCGATTATTGATATTATATTAATCGATTATTTATAATTGATTTTACATTTCCAAATTATTTTTTAGTAAGATCGAATGTTTATATCGAATAAAATATATTGATTTATAAATGTTTAAGCGAAGATTCACGATTGGGTGAAGATTTCATAAAAGATTTTGATATTTTAGCGAAATTTTAAAATGTTTTCACTTATTTTATTAATAAATTTGTCATCAATATATGGAAGTAGATAAGTAAACGTGATAATTTAACTATCGTTCGGCAATTAAAGTAGGTTAACATGTGATTTGTCCTTCAAATGTCGACTGTCACCGACACAAGCTGGCACCGAGATTCTGACGTTTGTCCATCATTGTTTTTTCAACTAGAGAGAAAAAATATAGCAAATCACGTATAACTAGTATAATTTGAATAGGGATAATGACGTGCCAAGCACATCTTCGTGTATGAAAGATGTGGGATGAGATTTTCATCTCACAATTTCCAGAATACTTAAACTGTGAATGGGATTTTAACAATCCTTTATTTCCTCTCTTCTTAAAAAAAAAAAAAAAATGTATAAAATTGGGAATCAATTGATGAAATTCTTTAATTTTCATCTCGCTTGTTGACTTCACTACCGAAAGAAAGCAAAATTATAAATAATTTTTCTGTTTTCTAGCTTGAAGGTCGATCAGATATTTATGCGTATGTCGAATGCAGGACATTGTAACTCGTCTACATGATAGAGAATACATATGTGTAAATTATGAAAAGCTTTCCTACATTAATATTCCGTATAATATCGATATTTTATCAAAGAAATCTATTATAATGTTACATAAACTGTAGATAAATTATTGCTATCAATTTCTTCTTTCAAACCAATTCGAGATCTTAAACTTTATAATTCAAATCGGCATTCATTTAACACATCTAATTACAAAGTGGCAGTAAATAGTTGTGTAGTCAGGTTAAATGTTAGCTTATATTATAAAATTATCGCTTTAAAGGAAAAGGAGACTTTTAAAACGCGTGGTAGGAAGCGAGGATGTAAGACCCCCTACTCACTACCTGTGTGATATTGCCAACCTCACTTCAACACCAACTTTATCCCCCACCCCCCGGAAGGTCAGCTTTAAAACAGGTGTCTTGTTTATAAGCATTCTTATGAAAGCAATAGGATTTTTTTATAGTTAATTAAATGCATTATACCGACAAGGAGTCAATAATTCTTAAAATTATATTCCTTTTTTTTAAGCGGAAATATTACAATAAGGAAACGAAGCTTAAAGGAGATAGTTTCTGACGAAACACGCAATCAAATTCGAAAATTTCATAGAAATTAGTTCAAGGCTGCCGATCGAACCACACCCAGATGAATGACGACGCCCTACCGAATGGTTCATCGCCTCTTCCTTGCATACTGAAAAACATCCATTCGAAAATCCTTCATCTATAATTTCTATTGGTTTGCCGCCATTTTTTATAAATCAAAATGGGTATAAAAGTCATCTGCCGAATCGGAAATTGTCACTCTTACTCATCACCGAGAAGGAAAACTTAACCATGAAGGTAAGACGACGAAAATTTCCATTTATTCCTTCCCTTCCTTATATACTCCCCCTCTTAAGTGAAAACTTATCCGAATTTCCTTTTACAGTGCTTGATTCTTGTAGCCCTCTTCGCCGTTTCTCAGGCTCAATTCGTCTACCACCATGGACTTGGTTCTAGTGCTCAATTCCGTAGCCAGGACGTAAGTATTAATTCTCTAGTGTAATATTTTACTTACAATAAGTTAGTTTTAACTTTTATGTGTGTGTTTAGATCGCTGGAAACTATCATTTTGGCTACAACGAGGGTCACGCTACTGGTGGCACCTTCCGTAGAGAGTCTGGTGACATCGCTGGCAACAAAGTCGGTTCCTATGGACTTTCCGATGCTGATGGACGCAGAAGAGTAGTCAGCTACGTTGCCGATGCTGCTGGTTTCCGCGCTAAGGTAGATACCAATGAACCAGGTGTTGATCCAGCTAAAGATCCAGCTGCCGTCGCTGTCAATAAGGGTGTTGTACCTCACCACATTCCTTACTACGGACACCATTACTATGGTCATTATCCCTTCGCTTACCATTTCTAAATTGTAAAAATGTAAATTTTCGGGTGGTTTTTGTAGGTTTTTATGGTTAAAACTTCGAGCTACTGTAATTTTGTGTGCTGCGGGATATTTCAAGTGCCAAACAAACGCAATATGTAAAGAAATGAATTTTAAAATAAAATAATCGCTAAAGAAGTTTTCTGAGTGTCATATCGAATCAATACGCACATTCCCAAATATTTTAATTTATTAATTACAGTTAAAGATAATTTGTTGTTACACAAATTTCCATGCAATTAATTCGTCAAAATAGCTGATAATGATAATTTCTCATAGCAGCAGACATGTAATTGTAAGTGTATGGATTATAGATCAATGGCTGATAGACGAATTTGAATGGTGTCGGTTGGTAATCCGATTCCGGGTCTCTTTCCATAGAATAATTGGGTAATTCTGAATAACTCGGAGCATTCGGGAAATAACGGCTACTTTCAGGATCGAATTGTCTACGATTTTCAGGCTCCAATCTGCTGCCATCTTCAGAAAATGAATGGTAAAAATCTATTCCCTCCGTCGAACGGGCGCCAAAACGGCTTGTCTGTTTAAAAATTATAAAAATTTAATAAATAATTAATTAATAAATAATAAATAATTTAAAATAATTATAAAATTTAAGAGAATAAAATCGATTAATCTGTATAATTACTGTTTCCATTCGATATTTATTTAAACAGAATCGACATTTCAGGCACAAAATAGAGCATTAAATAAACAGGAAAATTATTTTAAACAATAAAAATTTATGTTTTACCTTAAATTAAATTATATTTTCACTGTTTATTTTAAAGTATTATTTTTATTTTGCTTTAATTAATGTAAAATTTATGAATTTTGTTAGTTTCATGTTTCTCTTTAATTGAGACAAAAATATACCTTAATCCATTCAAAATTATCAAAATTTTGTGAATTAAATGAAAAAAAATATTAAAATATTACCTGTTGGCGATATAATGGAGTCACCTCTCTCCGATCATCTGTTAATCCTGCAGCTCGACTAACCATAAAAAGTGCGAGTATAACGAATACCTGAATATAAAAATTCAAAATTTATTAAGTATAATCCAACATTTCATATCAGAAAACTGGTGAAGTTAGATAAGAGAGAACTCACCTTCATGATGATGTTGGATTCAGACGGAAGAAACTAATGCCCTGTCCATATTTTCTGCCTTTTATATAGTTTTAAAGTCGTTTAAATTAGATCGGAAACTCGATATTTACAAGAATGGATGAAATTTTAAGGAAAACCTTGATCCAAATAACAGTAAAGTATATCTATCTTCGAAGAAATATAATATCACACGGCTGAAGATCTGTTCGAGTGGATAATCTTCACAGATCCTTGAAATAAGGGCATTACTTTCAGTTGATTCATTTTAATATTTTCAAATAAACTAATAAAAAAAACTAATGATATTTAAGGCCTGAAAGTCATAAGATAAGGCCTTGCCATTCACAAATGTAAAGCCTCTCATATGGATAAAAGCCGCTTATCAAAATAATCTTGTGAATAATTTTCCTGTTTATTTAATGCTCAATTTTGTACCTGAAAATGGTCTTCTCTAGCTAGTTCTTATAAATTTAATTGACGTTTAGTAAGCATGTAGGCCCTAACATGCTTACATATTTATATTTTTTCAGTTCTATCTTTTCTTGTATATAAAGGGTTAAAGTAAAAGAGCAAGGTCATTTGAGCAGGATTCTGGGCATAGAAAGACCCCAAAAATTAAAATTTATATTTAAAAAACATGATATGAAAGTGATGTAAAGTACTTTTTGTTATAATATTTAATTTGTTTCATTTTTTTTTAATAATTGTTAAAGCAGAATAATTTTAAAAATTTACGTGCCAAATCAACACTGTGAATAGAACAATCATAGTGATAAGTTAACACATCTAGAGGCCCTAATTCGCCAAGTAATTTCGAGGCCTTTGACCGTGCCCACTAATATTTATAAATGAAGCTTAATGTATAAGTGCTACTTGGGGCCCCTTCAGCTGAGAGGCCTGAAACAATTTTCATTTGCTTATGGAATAATTCATCACTATTCATTAAATTTATAATTTTACAGTTTTCATTTTTTAATGTTTATTTTTTAAAATAGTTGTTATAAAATAAATATTTTAAAATGTTTATTAAACAGAAGTTTCTGTCCTTCACAATTACGTAGCCAGAATGAAGTGGCAATGGTCCAATTCTTGAATGGTTTTCGAATTAATTAATCATTTTAACTTTTGAAAAAGTTATGTTTTTTTTATTTATATTTTTCGTAATAAAAATTCTTTGTATTTAAAAAATTATTTTAAATAATTAAAATTAAACATATCATAATGCGATTATCATGCGCGGAGATTTGGGTGCTTCGCTTTGGGACTATTTCATCAATTTTCGATTTTGTAATAAATTATTGAGAATTTTAATGAAAGAAGTATCTTATATTATTATTCAGATGCATAAAATTAACTCAAGAAGGTAAAAAAATTATTAAAAAAGTGAATAATCATCATTAGAAGTTATGAAGGTTGCAAACTTCCTTGAGTGTTTCTCTCTTAATATAATTTTTTTTTTATTTTAATTAAGAGGAAGATGATTAAATGAACATATGTAGTTATAACTATACACCTGCCTTTAATTATAGTATTTGAATTGACTGAAAAAAGTAGAAAAATTAATGAAAGATGGAACTGCTTTCCATCTTTCATTAATTTCATAACAGGGGAATGCTTTCCAGCAGGATTTCCTATAGGAAACAGGCTTCTACTTAGGTGTCAGATACCTTAAGACTAAAGTAGGAGCCAGTTTCCTATTTTAGGTGAAGAAAACCTGGAAAACCACGTGGTAATCTCATCGAGCAGGCATAAACCAAAATCATTTACCAGTGGTTTTATCCACCCCAACCACTGGTGGGCCTCATAATTATAACTTCAAAATTACTAATTACTATGCTTCTACGATTGGTGTACATTTTCTCTTATAATTATGTTTCATTAAAAGTGCCACGTAGTTTATTTGCCAACTTTACATGACATTTATACAGTTAAAATTGTATTTTCAGGAACCTAACCTCAATTTATCATTTATTATTTATTGGAATGGAAGGTTCACTTTATGACTTCCATTCAGAAGTATTTAAAACATAAAAGCGAGGATACTTTGTAAGATACAAAGTTTGAAAGCTCATAAACAATTGAAATCGAATTATAAATTTGCATAATTAAATCAGTCTCATAAATTACCAATGGATATTTATAAATTTAAATTTTATTTGTCAAAATTTTACAAACAAGATACCACAACCATTTCATAACGATCATCTAATTAGCGTTTAAAACAGTTGATAGGAACCAAAAGATTTTGGAGCGGCATGAGCCATGTAAGCGAAAGGATTGTATGTTGTAGGTTGCACGTTGCTATGCATTTTGAATGGGCTGGGTTGAAATTTTGCTTCTGCTTCTCTTTCTACAGCAAAATTTGGCTCAGAATACTGATGGACTCTTGGAGTGTTTCGATAAAATCTATTATCTTCCGGTTCCATTCTTCCTCGATTATCGTGAGTAGATCTATAAAAGTGCTCTTCTTCCCTTGGTAATTCAGCACTGGGTATACGGTGACCGAACTCCTGCTTTATTTTTAAAATATATACATAAATGTATACAAAAACATATTCAAATTAGTCTAAAACTGATCCAAGAAAGTATTACCTGTTGACGATAAAACGGTGTCATTTTTCTTGGATTTTCGGGTAGTCTCGTAGCTTGACTCACCACGAAAACAGCAAAAATAATAAATATCTAAATAAATAATCATCAAAATAGTTAAAATATTAATTTATTTTTATTTTTATTTATTAAACTAAGAGCAAGAAAGAGAATTTACCTTCATGATTATCCTGTAGATTTTTAGGAGATGTGATGAACTCTGCTGTATTTCGTAGGCTTTATATAGTTTTTTTGAGTTTACTTTTATCCGATATTCGATAGGTTTGTGGAAAAAATAGAGAAAATTTCAAAAAACCTTGATCTAAATTCTATCGGTAACTGGCTTAAAGTCTTTCGAGTGGAATATTCTTTATTTTATAGAAATGTCATCATTCATTTCTATCATTTTTAATATGAATCCCCCCTCTTAATGGCCCTCTGATAATCATTTAACGATCTTTATTCTCTCGATTGAAAGTTAATCATTCATAAAAATACTACGAATGTAGGCCATTAAACATAATACAATAAACACGACAGACTGTTACAGATTTATACATTGTTTTAACTATTTTATGTTGTAAATTAACATAAATTCCGTTTAGTTTAACATGAAAATAAAACTGAAAATAAATATTATTTGATTAAAATAATCATCTGCAATGTTGTTTGTTTTTTAATTTTTAGTAGGCCTATATTTTGATTGATAACAGCTGAGCGATGATTCGGGTTCGAGTACGGGTCGGATCTTCAGATATTTTGTGAGTGGTTTAACCCATGTACGTGGGGATCTTCGTAATCCGAATGATTAATTTTGAGATGAGATTCGTAAAAAATTGTAAATCCTAATACAGTAACAAGTAAAAATCGTCATTAAGTTCGACCCCACTCGAAATATGAAACACAACCCCTTCTATCTCCCCAACCCCTCGATCTTTAACCACTAAAATTTAATAGCATTAATGCCCCTAATACCCGANTTCTGCTTTGTTGTCGAATCTTTGTATTGTCGACTGAAAGCTCCTGTAAAAAATGTTTAATTTATAATTCCTTTCATAAAATAGTTTTAAAACATCTTATTTAACCTACGATGACCAAACTTCGGTTCTTCTAGACCCTTACTGTACTTTCCGTATATTCGATCCCTACTCTACTCTATCCCGGACATCTACCCGTATTACTTATGGATAACGATCTGACTTTGGTGCTATTCTTAGAGGAATAACATCAAATTCTCTATATGTCTTCTATATACATTATACAGGTTATATATAAAGTATTGTTCCAACATAGAATGCGGCTCTCAAATATTTCTTATATCCGGTAAATGGATCCTGTCGTGACAAGGTTTGGCCACCCCTGTTATATAATATAAAAGTTATTCAAAGTAAGTTTTTTTGCCTCATTGTCCTTACTTTTTACATTTTTGTGTATATAGTGTCTACTTGGACATTGTTTATTAATAGGATTTATTATACTTTTTTGTGGTTTTAGGCCCCTTACCGCTCAGAGAGCACAAAGAGGCCAAGAATGTTGTATATTGAAGAGTGTTCTGTTGTTAGTGTCCCTAAATGGGCTCATAGACGTCCCAAGTAAGGCTCATAGGTACTAGTCCCTCGTAAGGGCTCATAAGATTACGTTTATTTGTTATGTCTTAGTTTTATTCTGTATGGTATATTTTATGTACTGCTTAGCTAACTTATCAAAATTTTAATGTACAAGAAGAAGGGAAAGATAGACAGGATAGTTGCAGTTTGCGACCCAGCCCCACCTAACCTAACGAATTTTTGAATTTTTCAAAGTGAATGAAGTAGAGAAGCCACAGTGAATAATCCAGCAATAAAGGATTCCAGCAAAATTGGAAAAATGATTTTTGATGGGGTGCATCACCACTGTTGGTAAATGCTACAGCTTTCCGGGAGGTCTGTGAAGTTGACGGGGAGCTGACCTCCCATTTGAGGAGAAAAAGATGGAAGAAACCCGGAAAAACTCCACGGCCAGCCAGGGAAAAAACCAAAAAAGAATTTTGTTTAATGAATGGGGATAAAAATGAGAAGGGGGCATGCTGGAAAACCTTACCGTGTGAGGGAGAAATAGTATATGCTAGAGCAGTGGTTCCCAATTAGTTTTTCCTGCGTACCACTTCAAGAAAGAGCTCAAACTCGCGTACCCTTTATAGCAGAAATTCATATTAATCCATACTAATATTATAAATAGACCAAGAACTGCAATTTCGTGAAATCTAAAAAACAAATCATTATAATTTTTAAAATATTTAAATTAAAATAATAATATAGGTAGAGTTCGTGTCTTTCAGTCGCCGTTTCGCCATATTTAGTCCTAACGTTACCTTTATTTCCGTTAATTGTGTTTCTTTTTTGTTCAGATACTTCATATTAAAATAATCACTAATTTTGGATGAAATATATAAATAAACAAATATTTTACACTAACTTTTGTGAGTAATTTGTAGTATAAAGGACTAAATATGACGGCAGTTTGAATGAATGATACTGGTAATTCTTCTTGGTGCTCCCTCTATTGACTAAATAATTAATATATTTATAATTACGCTCTAAACATAATATTTAAAGTATAATTATAAACATATTTTCAACTGATTAATTTAAAAATATTTTAATAT